GGAAGCCAGTTCCATGCCGGATGTTGATCACGTGACCGGCTTTCTGGCACATAGTCAGAATCTCTCTAACTCTTGCTTCAGCTAAAGCTTTTTTACTTAAGCTGTTGATGGAGGCTCAAGTTTTCCATCTTGAGTCATGAGCCAGCATGGTGCTGGAGTCACATGACTGATTTTCGTGCGATCGAGATAACTAGTTGTGACACATATTATTTGAATAGCTACTATCAAAAGGAATTAAACTTAGGCAACTCAGGCTGGTCACGTGACCAGCTTCCAGGCCATCTAGAGTGTTAGTTTTGACTTGTATTTTTCTTCTTAGCTCTTATCAGAAGTTAGGTTGATATTTTGCTTTAGCTGGAACTTAAAAATATAAGCATATTACTGTAGTATTTGCTTTAATTCGGCTGGATCACCACTTTTCGATGGAATCAGAACTCACCCAAAATCAGAAAAAGAAGATTTACCTGGGTGTAGGCAAATTGCACTCTAACTTTATGTTATTACAAAAACTTCTATAACTTATTGTTGTTTCCCTTGTTATTTTGGATCTGATTTTTGTAAACCTGATTTTTACCACACTCTTACTTTGTGCTCTATTATTGCAATAGATGTGGAATTTTTAAACAAATTCCCACATTTCCCTGTGAAAATTACCTTATTGGGATGCTTCTACTGTGATTTAGACCTGATTTGCACAAACTTGATTTTTACCATACTTTTACTTTTTTGGTTTGAGGTGTATTACAAACACCCCCTTGTTAGGATGCTCCTAGTGTGATTTAGACCTGATTTGTGCAAATTTGATTTTTGCCACAGTTTTACTTTTTTGTTCAGAGCTATATTAGTTTTTGCGTGACATATTGCCTTATTGAGAGACTCTGAGTGCAATTTAGACTTGATTTGCACAAATTTGATTTTTTTACCACACTTTTACTTTTGTTTCCAGTGTGTGTGTGTGTTTTTTGGATCAGATTGCTGGAAATTTGGTTTTTACCCCACTTTTACTTTTTTTGGAATGCTCCTGGTATGAGTTATGCAAATTTGATTTTTACTATACTTTTACTTTTGTTTACAGCTTTGATTCTAGACAAATTGCCTTATCAGGATGCTCCTATTGTGATTTGGATGTGATATTGCAAATTTCATTTTTTAGCACACTTTTACTTTTGGGCAGAGTTGTATTTCTGTATAAATTCCTGTCATAAATTGCCTTATTTGGGTGATTCTAGTATGATTTAGACCTTGTTTGTACAAATTTGATTTTTACCACACTTTTACTTTTAGTCTGAGCCCTAACTACAGTTGTGGCAAGATCAAATGACCTCTCCCACACGCTCCAACCTGTCAAAATGGCAGATGGGAAAGGACATTTAATCTTGCTGCAACTGTATAGCTTTATTGTGATTTGAGATCAATACTCCATTTGTCAAATTTTGAATTTTTTTACCACACTTTTACTTTTGTTTAGAGCCTTGATTCTAGACAAATTGCCTTATTGGGATGCTCCTATTATGATTACAAATTTGATTTTTAGCACACTTTTACTTTTGGGCAGAGTTGTATTTATAGACAAATTCCAGTCATATTGGGATTATCCTAGTGTGATTTAGACCCAATTTGTGGAAATTTCATTTTTTTACCATACTTTTACGTTTAGTCCAAGTGCTTTTTACTTTTTGGTCAGAGTTGTATTTATAGACAAATTCCGGTCATATTGGGATTATCCTAGTATAATGTAGACCTGATTTGTGGAAATTTCATTTTTACCACACTTTTACTTTCAGTCCAAGTGCTTTATTGTGACGGAAAGACCAATACTGCGATAAATTGGGACTTGATTTTTATTTTTACTAGAATTGTACTTTTGTTTAGAGCCTTCATCTAGTGTGATTTGGACCTACACTTGTGTTTTTTCAACATTGGTTAGATTCAATTTTTTATGATTATGAAAATATCTTTGAGATTGTGAGGTTGAATGTGAGGTTCTCATGAGTCTGCAATGTCCGCCATCATCAAAGATTCCCTAACAATGATGGACTCTTGGCATGCCGCAGCTACTCCGGACATAGGAACATAACTTTTATCAGTCACACCATTTTCTTTTTCTCCTTCTCTCCTCCATCCCCCACTGTCCTCCACTGCAGGAAAGTGTTTGCTTTGGTTGCAGTTTGTTAGATTTAATTATTTTATTGTCAACATCAGTAACAGAAGTTTACAGAGCAGGCAATACTCCGAGCATGGGAATGATTTGCACGGGTCAAAGATTTGCTAACATTATGAGAAATTGACTTTTATCAGTCGCACCACTTTTTTTTTTCTCTCTCTCTCTCTCTCTCTCTCTCTCTCTCCCATCCCCCATCCGTCCTTTGCAGCAGCGTTGTCCTGCTACCTTCGGGAGGGGAAACCCTGTATGGCTGAAAACTCTACTTTTGAGCCAGCTATTCGGAGGACGCGTCGCCATGTCTTAATTAACGCGTTTTTGAGGACACCTCGGTGTTCCCCCAGCCAAGCGGTCCAGCAATGAGAGACGAAAAACATGCAAAGTCCTGTTATTTCCGATCACGTGACCGTGTGTGCCGGTGTGCCGGTGAATGCTGATCGAGACGCGCGTGTATGCCGATCGAGAACGCGCGTGCGGCGAAGGTCGCACAACCACGAAGGAAACGACCATCAAACAGATTCACGAAGACTGGGATTTGGGTAGAGAGGACTAAGGCTTGATGTAGATAGTAAAACAAAGACCAGAATCGACCGAAACGCTGCCAACTCATATGGCTTTTAGAGGTACAGACAACATTATTTATCGCCACTGAATCATTCGGTTAGCTGACGCTACGACGGAGAAGTACACTCACCGGTTGACACTCGCCCATCCCATGTCCACACATTTTCCTTATTGCCAATGATCATCTTCGCGTCCTCGATTCCCCGAGCCCTCTCAACGTGGATCATCCACCACCGCACCAGCCAGTGTCGCGTAATGCGCTTGTACCAGCGATACCATTTGGCTTCGTAGCTGTTGATGACACGTGGGTTGAGGTATATTCTCTGCAAGTCGAATTGCCGTCTGAGATCGTAGGGAAGGTTGAACGCTTCGGCAGAAAAACACTCTTTGTCTGTTGACCGCCGGAACTGGAGCGGGGGCGTTTTAAGCGGGGGGTAAGAGCCGGTGACTGTGGATAGCTGGGATGGGTGGAGGGAAGAGGTGTCGACAGAGGCACTGTGGAAAGCCGACCCGGGGTCCGTAAGGAAATGGGAAGGAAAGGTTCCGGAGTAAACGCGACAATCCCGTTCCAGCAAGCAAAGACCGGAGCTGGCTCGTCCTTGATCACGGCCTGCTGATCCTCCTTGTCGAGGAAATATGGCCATAGAGAAGAAACCAAGTTGCCCACGCGGTCCCGCAAAACCCAAGCGTCATACATCCTAGAAATTGGTGAATAGCATCCAAAGGGCATAAGAAAACTCACCCCCAACGATGTAGGTCAATTCCACAGACCATGTCCCATTTGCCGTGGTTTGTCTTCAGCAACTCCACAACCGCGTCGGCCTCGACAAAAACGTCGTTGCTGAACAAAACGAGATCATAGCCTCCGGTCTCGACAAGCGGGGCCAAGGCAAGATTGCGCGTTGCTGCAAGAAACTCTATTCGTGGATTTGCAGTCGACATGTCGGCTGGTCGCTCTATCGTTTTGTCCCGAGTGCGAATCAAGTGCTTGACACCAAGTTCATCAAGGGTTCCCTTCCACTCGTCTAGGATTTCTGCTGTCCCATCCCAGCTGTTGGATTCGACAATGGAAACGAACACATTGTCCTATATTCATGAGCATCTCCACAGCTACCACGACCAGTACTCACAGTACCCAGATAATGGATAACTTTTGTAAACTCCCGAATCCAGTAAGGCATAATGGCGATGTTGTTGTTGAACATGGCTGCGATAAACACCTTGGCTTCAAGTCCGTAAGTGGGGCACAGAAAAGCACGCGGAACTCACTGCCGTCGCCGTAACCCTTTGGCCTCTTCACGCGGTTCGCTGCCTCCACCACCGACCTATACCGATAGTCCGAGGAGTATTCGTGGGTCAAGTAGAGGAAGGCTCCGCTGAGCGCAAGGCCCACATAGAGCATGAGGAATTTTTTCGACAATGGGGAGAGGAACGTGGTCTGCGTTGATTTGCGCGGCCTTTCCCGACGCTCTAAAGGTATTAACGAGTCGTATTGGCGTTTCCTCTGAGTGAAGCGTTGCAATGCCGCCCACAACAACACGCCAAGCACCATGGCTGCACCCCAACTTGGGACCACAAACATGAGCAGCACGAGGCGGATCCTAGGAATGGGAAACGCCGGCCAGAAGATGTCTGCTTCGTACTCTCGCAGCCAGTACCCCCAAGAGTAGCCGTACATGCGCCATAGAAGGTAGGCGGGAAGGGAAATGAATGCCGTGCGGATGAGGAGATTGTAAACGGGCCAAAGGAGTCGTAGAAACCGTGGAGGGATTAGATGGGAAGCCGAAGACAGGAAGTCCAAGCGCCGACCATCTCGCCTCCGCATATGGTGGTGGCGGGGAAAAGACCGGGAGTTGATCGCAACACTTGTCCCCAACCTTCATGTTCCTCAACAATGCTGCTTCTTTCTGCGGGCTCCAATGCCCAGGGACAATTATCCAACGGCACTACCGATGACTCTCATCACTTTTCACCTTGTTCCTTCAACACAGAAGAGCCAGATCACATCCCTTCCGGTTATCGATTACTCGACCTTGCATTCGGCGCTAACCACACTCTTGCGCTCGCCCAAGTGGCAGAAAGTCAAGAAAACGAGCTGTGGGGCTGCGGAGACGGGAAAGCGGGCCAGCTCGGGCTTGCATATGCAGCAACTACGGTCCTTACTCGACTCGAGTTCGATATACCAGCGGGGTACACTCCACGCTTGATAGCAGCGGCATGGGAGACAAGCTACGTTGTTATTTCGGCCCGAGACAAGCCAGATATCGTCATCTCAATGGGCTCTAACGACTTTGGAGACCTTGGCATCGGGGTGCAAGGAAAGGTGCCTCCGAAAGACTTTCATGTCGTCCAGATGGATGCTTTGGTCGTACGCTCCATCGTGGCTGGCCAGCGCCATGTTCTCGTCTTGCTGGAAAGCGGTGAGGTCATCGGTTGGGGTGCGTCGAGGCATGGCCAACTCGGCAACACAGTCGAAAAACCATGCGTCAATCTACCTACGAATATCCCAGTTGGAACAGGGGTCGTATCTATCGCTGCTGGCCACCATCACACGGTTTTTCTGCACCAATCTGGCGAAGTTACTGGCTGGGGATCGAATCGAAAGCATCAACTTAACTGTCTAAGCGCCATTCGTAACGCGGGAGGAGTACATTGTACCTGGAACGGAAGCTATGTGGTAACGAGCGATGGGTACATCCATTCCACCGGCAACAGCATTCACGGCCAACTCGGGCGTGAACTTGAGGGACACACTCGTGTCCAGCTACCTGGCCACGGGCTGGTCCAAATCGCGTGTGGAAGCGAGCACGTGCTTGCCGTTCTGCGGGGAAAAGACGGCCAGTTTGAAGTGTGGGGGTGGGGCTGGAACGAACACGGGAATATCGGAACTGGTGCCACAGAAGATGTGCGACTTCCTCAAAAACTGTGCTCCTTTGACTCGCATGTGCGCGTTTGGGCTGGGATGGGGACTAGTTGGATTTGTACCTAATTAAAACTTTCGGTTAGGCTATGACATGGTATTGCTCGACGATAAAAGTAGTGCAAATCGTTTCGCGGGGTGGCGATTTTTTGGAGTTCTTCCTCTCGTCACCTGATCGTGACGTTTTTGCCGCATCACCGCCCACATTCCTTCCAGCGCCCCTCCATCGACAAGCCAACTCAAATCGACGCGCTCCAGTGTGTTCTGACGCGGAAAAGGCTCTGGATATCCACACTCCGTGTCTTACATTGTGCCCAGTCTTGCCACTATGAGCACACGGAGAAAGCTTGGCAAGCGCTCTTTCACAGGAAACCACTCGTTACTCCCAGCTGCCGGTCCAGCGCCGACACCGTTCGCCCCGCGACTCCCCACATATACTTTTCTCAAGTGGACATTTGGGAGGGGGAGTGTAGTACGTCGTTTTTGCCGTGCTCTTCTTTCTCTCTTCTCAAACTGAATTAGATATGGAAAATCTGGCCTGCAGTTCTTCTACACACCGCATTCGCGGCCACGATAGTCTACACATGGTATGCCACGGGGGAGACCATTGAGATTCCGGTGCGTGGTGCATTATTTGTCGCACTACTCTGGCTAACACTCGTCAGAACGCAATGCTAACTGTCCTCGGGGTGGTCATTGGTTTCGTCATCTCCTACCGCGCAAGCAGTGGCTATGATCGCTATTGGATGGGGCGCTCAGCGTGGTCAGACGTGATTCGCAACTCACGCACGATGGGGCGGCTGATTTGGTACCATATCCCGCCTCGTTTGACCCCTGGGCCGGGTGAACGCAGCGCCCACGAGTATGCAAAAGTCATGGCTGAGAAACGCATGGCGTTAGATCTCATCGAGGCGTATGTGGTCCTACTCTCCATTTGGCTAGACTGACTGCAGTCCCCAGTTACGCCGTTTCTCTGAAACATCATCTTCGCGGAGAGTTAGGAATCTACTACGACGATTTGTACAACCTCGTCAGACCACTGCATGATGTCCGTCCATATTCCTTTCCCGCTGTGATCTCTCTCTAACGTCTCGTTAGTTTACCGACCCAAATGTTCCCCGTCCAACAATAGCATCAGCTGTTCCACCCACACCTCCGCCAGCTGCCCCTCCGCCCCTCTCCATCCCGACACCCCCGCCTGCTGCTGAATCAGCCTCAAGTTCTGCGATTTCGGCATCGACTGCACAGCCCTCCAAGCCAAACAAGCTCACAAAGCGGCCTCCCAATCCTTCTCAAGTCTCCATCCACCAACCACTCCTCCCCGCGCAAGACCACCGCATCGCCCACCAAGACAGCGTTATGCGGCGCGTCAACCCTGATATTGTGCCGTTCGCGGGTGTTATTTCCGCCGTCACTGGCTGGTTCCGTGGGTTCTGGAAGGAAAACAAGGCGGACATGGACGGTCACCGCCAGCGCGACCGCTCCAGTCGGATGCGTACTTGGAGTGGGCCGATTCACCCCCATGGGCTTGCAGAGTTGGAAGAGTTCCAGAAGGGGGAGAATTTGCCAGAGGAAGTGCTGAGATGTCTGTCCGAATGGATCAGTGTGCTGGAGGAGCGCGGGACCGTCCCTGGCGCGAGTCTGGGGAGTATTTTGGGCGGAATACAGGCGTTTGAAGTGAGCTTGACAAGTGAGTGAAATCACAGTGATTTTTGGCAAATGCTCATTGCGTTCAGCACTGGAGCATATTTTGACCACCCCACTGCCTTTGTATGCGTTTCAAGCACCAATTTTACGACCCTAACAACTTTTAGTGTCTACTCTGTCCACATCCGACACGTCGTTTGGATCTACCTCTTCCTCCTGCCTTTCCAGCTCGTTGGCATGTTCCAATGGCACACTGTTCCCGCCGTCAGTTCTCTTCCTCAAACCCAAATGTTGAGCTCAATTTCTCCCAGGTCATGGTCGGCAGTTTTGTCTACCTCGGATTTGTTGCTGCTGGTGAAGAGATCGAGCAGCCGTTTGGGTACGACGACAACGACCTCGACCTCGACATGTTCTGCCGCGACATCATCCGGCAGGACATACTCTGTCTGAAGCAGGCCCGGTGTCTGAACGCGTGGTTCCCGCCCACAGCGAACATCATCCAGCCAAATACTGAGGGCTTGCTTTCCCCGCCTGATGCGCACCCGCCGGCGGAAGGCTCGGTGTCGACGTTGGCCACTGCTTATGGCGGGAATATGTACCGTGCGTCGCTGGCGAGCCTTTCGGACTCGGTCGACGAGAACGGGGAGATGCCTGATGAGGAGGACGACACGGAGACTGAGGCTGAAGCTGAAGCTGAGGCTCAGCCAAATGGAGGGACGAGCGAGGGAAAGCTGGTGGACGTGTCATGATTATTTATTTAGATTAACGCAGTCATACCCAACATCAAGACACAATAGTAATTCGTATTGGTGCGTTCTCTTTTTTTTTTGTTTGGGTCACGGTGTAATGCTAATACTGGCCATAGAGCAATATAGCCTGAGGAGCGCCGTTCAAAAGTTGATTCAAGCTCAGTTTTCGCTCAGAGAAGCCGATCTGGGGCGTCATGACGCGTTTATTGACACCCCACAGCGGGCCTTGAATTTTGCCATCGCACTTCCTCGTCCGCTTTTCCACCCTTGGCCATTCCTTAGTCGACCGACTCGTCGCCGTTGTGCATCCTCTTAGTTGGTGCGTTCTCTCTTTTGTACCCTGGGTACGATGCTAATGCTCGAGCAGTAAGTATAGGAGCGCCGTCCAAAAGTTTAAGCTCAGTTTTCGTACCTCAGAGAAGCTGATCTGGGGTACATATGATGACGCGTTCACCCCAAAGCGGGCCTCGAATTTACAAGTATCGAACTTGCTCCTTCCTTTCCTTATGAGTCGACCGACTCGTCGCAGTTGTGCATTCTCTCAGTGATCCGCCGGCGTATTGGTGCGCTCTCTCTTTTGTACCCTGGGTACAATGCTAATGCTCGAGCAGTAAGTATAGGAGCGCCGTCCAAAAATTTAAGCCCAGTTTTCGTACCTCAGAGAAGCCGATCTGGGGCATGATGACGCGTTTATTGGCACCCCAAGGCGGGCCTTGAATTTTGCCATCGGTCTTCCTCGTCCGCTTTTCCGCCCTTGTGCTTTCCTTATGAGTTATCCATTCTCTCCGTAATCCGTATTGGTGTGTTCTCTCTTTTGTTTGGGTCACGGTGTAATGCTAATAGTGGCCATCGAGCAGTATAGGAGCACCGTCCAAAAATCCATAGAGTATCGCAGAAGCGGATCTGGGGCATGATGACGAGTTCATTGGCGGGCCTTGAATTTTGCCATCGAACTTCCTCGTCCGCTTTTCCGCCCTTGGCCTTTCCTAGTCGACGGCTCGAGATTAATGGACCCCCATTTGTGGCGACGGACAGCTAGACGCCGTCTGGGGGAAGGTTATTCCTCAAACAAGCCGCTTATCGATGAATCTGTGGAGGCGAGTGACACGCTTCGCGCTCGATTTAGGGCACCTTCAACACGGCCCATCAGCGCCCGTACACACAGAAGTGCAGGCAACAGGCCACATGAGCAGCTGCCCTTGTTCTCCTCGGTTCGTCTGTTTGTTTGCGCATGTTGCCATATCGGGACGGCGGGCGCTTGTGTGGTCTATATAAGCTGGCCCGGGGCGACTCTTCGCTCCAGCACTCTTGCCTTCGCCCCTCATCTCCTGGCTCTACCTCGCTGCTCCGACTGGAGTCATGCTGCTGCTCTGGCCTCTGACTTGAGCCTGGCTCGTCTTTTGGCCTGACCACGACCTCTGTCGTTGTCGCTCTCATCGTATGTCTTGTTGTCGTTGTCGACGTTGATCACGACCTAACCAGCTTGTAGATGTTTTGATCACTGCCTTCTTCGCTTCAGCGCTCTTGCCTTCGCCGATCGCCTTAGGCTCTCATCGACCACTGCCTTGGAGCATGCGTATGGTGCGTGTCCTCTAGCTATGGACCCCCGCCGACACTGACGCCCACTCACAGGCTGTGTTGCTCCCTCTATACTGTGAGTAGGCGGCCAGCTATCCACCCATTTCTTCACAACCACACACACGTACCCACAAACTCCCCTCCCCACGTCCACACCATCAACACGTCCCGCCAACCCGCGGCCGGCCGTCAGTAGCGCGCACCATGGCTTGGAGTAAACACGAGGACCGGCCGCCTTATCCGCCCCACGGAAGGCGGTTCTTGGTCTTCAAGGTGTCTTTAAACTCCAGCCGCGTCGCGAAAACGGTCCGGCCCGGGCACCCGAATCGACAAGGCCCGACTGCCTTAGCGCGGACCGCGGCGGGATCGGATCGGCGCTGTGTGCAGCGACCGTGTGAGATTCCAATGCTACGTGCGGGCGGGGGCTTTTTTCCCAAAGCAAAAAAGCAACAAAAAACGAACAACGGACGTGGGAGGGTAACACCTACTAATTCTATTTCTATCTTCTCTCTATCACGAGTCAATGGATGCTGGCTGACCTACTCACAGACCTTTCCACTCTTGCCTTCGACTTGAGCCTGGCTCGTCTTGCGGCCTGCCTCATCGTATGTCCTTTTGCTCGCCGTCGACGTCGATCACGACCTCACTAGTTTGTAGATGCTTCAAGTTTGATGGGCGCGTGCTGCCCTCGTCTGGTATGTCTGGTATGTCCTCTGGCCATCAACTCCGCCGACACTGACGCCCACTCATAGGCTGTGTTGCTCCCTCTACTGTGAGTAGGCGGCCAGCTATCTACCCATTTCTCCCCCCACACACGAACCACCCTCCCACGCCCACACCATCAACACGTGTGCAGCAAGACCCACCAACCCGTGACCGGCCGTCAGTAGCGCGCACCATGGCTCTGGAGTAAACACGAAGACCGGCCGCCTCATCCGCGCGTCAAACCCGCGGAAGGCGGTTTTTCGGTCTTCAACGTGCCTTTAAACTCCAGCCGCGTGTGAAAGCGGTCCGGCCCGGGGTCCCGAATCGACAAGGCCCGACTGCCTTAGCGCGGACCGCGGCGGGATCGGATCGGCACTGTGCGCAGCGACCGTGTGAGATTCCAATGCTACGTGCGGGCGGGGGGCTCTTTTCCCAAATCAGAACACAACGAAAAAAGGCTACCAAAAAACAACAAAAAAAACAACGGACGTGGGAGGGTAACCGCCTACTATTCTTTTTCTCTCTCTCTCTTCTCTCTCTATCATGAGTTATGGGATGCTGGCTGACCTACTCACAGATCCACCACACCGCTTTCGCTCGCCGCTCGCGACCTTCCCCCCGCTCGGCGCTGCCCTCAAGCGCGTCTTATCCGCAAGAAAGATCTCGGGCAAGACCGTACGTAAGCCGGACCAATTCCGGCGCGGCCGGGGGACGACGCCCGGTCGAGTTCTCGCCCACAGTTGGTTGGACGCCTGGTGCTCTGTCCCTTTTGCAAGACGTCATGCGCGCCCCCCGGCGGCGGCTGTCGAGTTGACGCGGTACCCGAGTCGGAGAGCGTAAGACGGGCGGGCATGGGCATGGGCGGTGGGTGGGAGGTTGGCTCTTGGCGGCTAGTTATTACTTAGTATGGTAGACGTTGCAAAAACTCATTATTTTGTCACAACGACCTGAAGTGAACTGAGCAAGACCTGCGTTGCATAAGGCGATGGAGTTGCTGTGGCGTGCTTTAATGAAATTTTTGCCTCGAGTCGGATAAGTACATTCTCTCAATCGCAATCCCTATCCCTATCTCCTCAGCTTCGATTCCGCCCTCCGACTCGAGTAGACGGAGTCGGGCCTGAGGCATAATGAGGACCGGTTGTTGACAGGACGAAGTGTTGACCTTCTCTATCGGCAAGTCCGCATCCACCCTCGAATCGACGTCTGTCGCCGCACACGCCGATAATCCCGGTCAAGCAGCCTCCCCCGCAATCCCCGAGCCAGCGGCCATGCCCAATCCAAGGGCTCCACAACGCATAAGCCCCAGAACTTGAAGCGAGGGAGGAAACGGACATACCGAGGAAGCACAGTCCGAGTTTGGTCTGGTTGCGGAGCGGGGAGGTTTCGTGGAAGACACTCGAAATGCTTGCAAGCACGGCATGGAAAACAGCATACACGACAGCGGTGACGAAAAGGATTAGGTCAATATCGGGCTCGAGAAAGAGAGGGAGTGGGTTTTGGTACCCTCGCGGCCCCGGTTGCGTGTGAGCTGCCAGTGCGTGAGAAGCCGGGTTTCGACGGCCCAGGCCAATAATTGGGGTGTGCAGTAGGCGATTACCGGGGACGCTTCCGTTGCCCACAACGGCCATTAAAGTCTCGGGAAGGAATCTGCGTGTTTGTTCAGACTTGAAGTTCAAGTTGGGTCGAAAGGTGATGTCATACAGGGCTAGAACCATGGCACAGACGCCTGCTGCAATGCACAAAAACCAGAATATAGCCCTCCGGAGATACTCAGTCAACAAAAAAGCAGGTCAAAAGCACACAAAACGGACCTCCATCCGAGTTTATCCGAAAGAGCGCCTCCAATCACCGGCCAAACTGCTGGTCCCATCTGGACGCGGCTCGACTGAAAAGATACACGAAACTCAGGTTAAACTCACCAAAGGTCCAAGGGAGTAAACACCATAGAAACCACCGCGCTCTGCTCTCGTAGAGATGTCCGTTATGACGCCAGCACCGATTGCCACGGTGCTGGCGGACCCTGCGGCCTGGAAACACCGCAAGAAGAGGAGCACCCAATAGTCGGAAGTCGGTGTCATCGCCAGGCCGACACAAGAGAGTGCGAGGACCACGAGGCAGCTTATGAACATGAGACGACGCCCATATGTGTCAGCGAGTGGGCCCCAAAACATGGGTGCTGAGTAGTCGTGAGTCGTTGCAATGCGCTCGTGAACAGCCTGAGATGCAACTCACAGATGCCTTGAAAGACCATGTTCAGCGTAACCTGCAAAATCGTCAGATGATGGTCCAGGTCGGAGCGTAGGCCGCTCTTACGGTCGAGTTTATGAGCTCCGTAGACTTGTGGAACGCAACAGCAATGGTCAGGATGGCGGGGAAGTATAGATTGGCTGAAAGAGGGCTGGAATGCTCTCATTAGTGTGGGATATACGGGAGGGCAGGACAAAGACGGGCCTGAATAGCGTGCCAGATGCCACCAAGGACACTATGAGCCATTTCTCGCGCCCGGTGTAGATGCTGAACGGCTCTTCTTCATGCTTTTCAGCAGAGGGAGAACTAGCTTCGCGTTTCGTGTCTTGGGTTTCGTCGGCCGCCATGTGCAGTCAGAGAGAATCTCTGTGCCATTATTAGATACAGGGTCGGCAGCGGTTGGATTGGGGGTGAGCGGCCAACTACCGAGAGAGAGATCTCAGATGGAAGTCGGGAACAGGTTGTGAAATCGTGATGACGTGATCTGGGGCGGGTAAAATCGGACCGAGTCCGTTCAGCTTTTTCAAGAAAATTATTATACATGCGTACTACTGTTTTTCGGTTGACTTGAGTGTCTGGGAAACATTACTGTTGGCCTCCACCGTCGTTCCATCAGCTTCATCAGCCGCCTCTTTCTCGTCGATGTTCCCCTCTGCGGTAACGGTGGTCACAGTACCCGTCGCGACCACGTCTGCCACCGCGTTCTCGACTTCCGGCTTCCCATCCTTCCCAGCGCGTATCACCTTGCGCTTGAGGCTGTATTTCTTGAGGAAGAAGACTGCATTACTCATCAGAACAACGCCTGGATGACTACGAACGACTTACTCGCGACGAAACAAACCACCACGATAGGCGTGTCCATTATCCAGATCGCGGAGACGCCCTTGGTGTAGGCACGCAGCACCCGCTGCCGTACAGATTCAGGCTACGCTCATCCAAATCAGACGCCGAAATCAAAACGATCACTGCTGCCTGCCTGTAGATGCTGGATTGCCCTGACGCTGTCCGCCAGGGCTGCGCCGGTAAAGTCGACGCTCAGGCCCTCTATTTTCTTCAGCTCCTTTTGCGCTACGCTCGACCAGACCGTCTGGCCGATCGAAATTCCGACCGTCGAGCCGAGAATCCTACATTTCGGATCAGAATAAGTGCTGATCCGAGCTAGGAAGAGTTACCGAAACAGCCCAAACGTCGTTGAGCTGGTGGCCATGTCCTTGACGGGCATGGCCGCCTGCATCCCGATGAGGGGCGGGAGGAAGAGAAAGCCCAGGCCGAACCCGGCGATGGTGGGGTATACTATTTGCAGCGCACTGCAAAGAATGATGAGCGCGGGCCGGTATGATGATTGGCAACGAACAGCGACGAGCGCTCGTCAAGCATTATCATCAGGCCATATCCTACGGCCATGATGCCCTAAAGTAATGACCGGTCAGGTCAGGAGTATTCTCTGTTCAATGTTGGGAAACACACGTAGCCAAACCACATAATGGGTCTAGGTTTATTCAGATTAGTTTCAATGGAGCGGTCTGCGCCTACCGATAGTCGCCCATCCAACTCACAACGAATCCGCCCAGCGCGGAAGTTACAGAAGAAAGCAGCGAGAAGGGGATGATTCTATGACAAAAACTGAGAGTGTGGAGCGAAGGGGCAGCGTCACGTACAAAACACCAGATTTTGTGGCCGATGCACCTAGAATTTGGAAATATAATGGAAGGTAGTATGCCGCTGCATGATCATTAGGCTCAGGCTCACTCGGAGGAGAGGAGCAGGGCAAAATACCACAGAAAAAGCAGAACGAGTGGAAGAAAACGCTGAAGAATATAATCCCCGTTGTTCTTGTCTAAGGAAATGAGTCAGCGCGAAAGAGGACGATCATTGGAAGATCGCACCTGGAATAACCGCGGCGGTATTATAGGCGACCTGCTGGTCCAGCTCTCGAACCACACACCCGTTATTATTAGCACAAAGCCCACAACAAGCAGCGCAATTGTGGGTGCGCGGTCCCCTGTAGTAGACGTCAGCGAAATTTGAAGACGGAGAACGAAAGTCTGACATCCATCTTCGCTCTGGCTGAACCCAAGGAGCAAACAGACGACTCCCCCGACAAAGAAGAATAGCCCGCCAAAGTCGAATTGCCGTACATGCTCATGGAAGGAGCGACCGTGGTGTGGGTTGAGATTGAGAAAAAAGAATAGCAAGAGCCCGGCGACGCCGCCTGTTGGTCTTGGCGTGAATCAGTATCAGGTCGCGAAATTTGCGATAAGATGGAGTACAGATTGATCCAGAAGGCCCAGCGCCATGAGACATGGTCCGTGAGAGCCTGGAAGAAATATTAAACAGGCGCGGTATCTTGTTTAGGACGCGCACTCCGCCGACCAGTGGTCCAATGACACTATTTTCTCAGATAAATGGTGAGGAAAGGAAAAATGAAGGAAGATTACCCCGCTATGCCCCACATGGCGCCGATAAATGAGCCATATTTGCCGCGGCTGTTAATATTGTAAGGGCGGGATGGGAAGGCTATGGTCCGGGCGCATACTCCTCAAGGCTGACAATATCTCCGATGACGATTTGTACCATCTGTTGGATACCTAGGCAAGGATTCGAGTCATCGACGACCTGATGACAAATGATTCCCATACCTCCCCCTCCGATTCCTTGAACCGCCCGAGCTATTATTAGCCAGGTCATCGTCTTCGCCGCCCCACACAGGGCCGAGCCAACCTGAATCGATATGAGCTGAGCTGGTGAACGGAGATACAGTTGCGCACAAGGAATATGACAATTGAAGGATATAAAACTTTCTTCCTGGTTTATGGTTTTTAACTGGAGACTAATCGCATCGACCTGGACGCACCTCGAGAACAAGTCACTCAGTTTACCGTAAGCGGGGCTGAATGCTGCTGCAGCAATCAAGTAGGCACTGCAACGACATTCCATCGAAGTTTGAGCCTCGTCGAGGCGAAAACGCACCTCCCCACCCAAGAATACGATTTTCCGCCGCCCAGTTGCGCGACGATAGTCGGTAGTGCCGTCGCAACGCTTTGTTTTCGTTTGTTACTACGCGCTGACTGACAAGGGAAGCCTACATCGTCTGGTCTAGCGCAGCCTTGAGCGGTCGACATCAGCAGACATACGAGTCACAAAAAGATAGCCTAAACACACCAAGAATGCTGTCATCATGAGCGCGATGAAGACAAGGGGGAGGTTGTTATGCGGGAGGTGCTGTTCATCGTCCTCTTTGGATTGTTTCGTCTTCCTGTCTGGCGCAGAGACGGGCGTCTCTTGGTCAGCCGCATCGACGGCCATGAAGGGAGGAGGCAAGCGACCACCGGAACCCGGCTTAAGCTTCCGCAAAAACTTCGCCGCGGCGTCCAAGTGGCTGACTCAGACGCAAGAATTCGAAAAACATTTCGCCGATGGCGTCATGTACGATTGCCAAGATGCTCTGGTTCAAGTTTCAGGATCTGAAGCCTCGTATGTAACCCGACAAGAGCTCATAAGTAATGGCAATGTCAACAAGATAGCCCAGCGACAACTCTAGGTCCATCCTTCCGCACTGATCAAGCATCATCAAGTCTCTTTGCCACTTGCTCCGTCTGTCAAATCTCAGGAATCGCAATCCCTCCCACCAAAGCCGCACATCGGCGACTTGACTCAGTTGACGAGGCCGTCTCAGGATAACCAGCCAGCTTGTCCAGAAGGCAATCCGTCAAAACCCTAACTTCGGGTCCGAGAGACCGCATCAAGGGACCGACAAACAGGAGAATCCCAGCGTCGACGACAGCATTCGCGCCATCGGGAGAGTACTCCACAACTGAGATCAAAAGACGAAGGTAGCGAGTGACGTTCACAAGTCTCCCACTTGTGACACTGGAGAAGAATAAGCAAAACAATCGTAGCGGAAGGCGGATGAACAGACCAGCCATGAACGAGTTGCGAGCACAGACCCTCCCGCAAGACATCACCTGGTGTCAAATCGTCGAGGTTGGCGACGGCCGCCAGTTGCTCGATTTTGGCGCGGAGGGCTGAGAACGATGACCATGGCTTCTGCCAACCTACGTTAGTTACAGATCAGATATAACGATGGCCGATTTACTTTCTCGGAAATGAAGTAAACTGCTACGCGGTATTTTCGACTCGCAGGGAAGCCTTTCATTTGTCGGTATTTGAGCTTGATTGGGAGTAGCGGTGGTATGTAGTCTGTGCTGCCTAAAAGTATGAAGGTCAGCGAAATCACCCGTATACTGCTCTAAAACGCACCGAGATCCTTTATAAGAGACTCCATCTTCCTCCGAATTTGCCATTGCGTGAGAATGGTGACAGCGTTCCGAGCCGCAAAAACAACCAAGGGAACGAGAAAGCAGAGAGCCAGCAGCGGCCATAGAACAGTCATGGCGACAACGGTACCCAGCTTATTGTGAGCAGCAGGAATCCGAGCCAAGCGAAAGAACGCATAGGCCAGGGCGGCCGTTATAGCGCAGACCATTACTGTTGCTATAATGCGGATAAGACGGAGGTACATAAGAATGCCATTCCGCCTTTCTTCATGGTGAAGGAAACGAAATACGTGCCCGGTAGAAGACGGGTCATGCTTGCTCCACGTCTTTTCTTCCACCATCTCTTGCCGCTGCTTCACGGAGATGCCTTGGGTCAACGGCAGCAAATAGTCTGCGAGCGGAAAAGATGTTGCGAGGAGGGGAAAAGAGTAGTGTCGGAGAGAGACGACATGGAAAAGAAGTCGCGCATACCAGAAGCAGTTGCTGGATGCAATGCTGTGAAAAAAAAATCAGCTACGAGTAAATTGGGAGACCTGATTGATAACTCACATTGGTCTTCCGAATGTCGAGTGGTTGGGAACACGAAGCTCAGATGTGATCCAAGCGCAAAGAATAGTGTGTGGTCGGGGAGGAATTTGGAGTCCCATGGATGTCGAGTGCGCTGAATGGTCACAACATCCGACGCCCGCATCGAAAAACTCGGAAAGTGTTTCCCGAGCCGCTCAATTTTGATGTCGTAGAATAGAGGCATGGCATTGGGACTGGCGTTGAGCGGGTTATATGCGAGACGGAGGATGATGAACTGGTGCTTCAGCAATGTGTCGTTTTCTGCCCACCAAGCCATATCGGTGACAACCGCGTTTTGTACCCATATGCTAGCCGCCTGACTCCAAGCGCAGAAGTCGTTGACGGCCATTGAGCCTTCAGGAATCGGTTTAGTATCCTGCAGGGTGAACTCCTCCTGGGGAGTGTGTGGCAGGCTCATAGTGGAGGAGCCTAGCTAAACTCGTCTTAGAAGAGCAGTTAACCTGTCACAGCATTGACGCACCGGAATCTTCTAACCCTGCCTGTCAAGCTGTGCCAGTACCTCCGCTCAAAGCAAAGGCACGCTTGCCCAACTTATCTGAAACTTGAACGCATGAAGAGAGAGAGAGAGTAGTGACATCTGATTTCCCATCAATTGTGAGCATACTTCGTCAGCGCTGAGTTGGCCTCAACTTTTAAGCGTTAAACCTTGGTTCAACTGCCTATGCATGGCCATGATGGACATCTGAGATGCGTTCAAGAGGCGTTAACGAACGTGCATGTGATCACGTGTCTACAACCACGACTACCAGTAACCATGAGCACGATCGTCTTTCTGGGAGCACCACCTGCGTCAGATGTCCACCGACCGTTGGGGGATTATGAATGGCGAACTGCATCGTCTACTGTTGTAAACCCCTCAAAGTCGACAGTGACTCGACAACACTCTATGTATCTGACGGCGCAACAACTCGATGAGCTTCCTCCTGCGACACTCGAAGCTGTCAGCAGGAGAATTTCTCTAGTATATCAGAATGTTATATTCAATGATGCAGACGAGGATGACGGTGAAGAGGACAAATCAGGTTCGTGTTCTTCTGTTGAGCGTACTGAGTGCCGCGACTGAAGCACTGCAGAGACATTCATAACATGGCCACCAACGGCCCCTTATGGGTCTCAAAGCCAGAGCGGAGACGAAACTCATGCCCCAGGCCAGATACCTTCGTTTTTGGATGTGTCCAAGTCGATAGCGCCGGTCTTGGAATCCCAGTTTGAGACACAGATGGAAGAATCCCAGTCGTATGACAACTCTGGGGGAGAGTCAATCGCGCGTTTCCCCGAGTTCCACTTTTCGCTCAATGCACTCACTTCTTTGTCTGCGCTGGCAAAGGCAAACGGCAAAGGGAGCAACGTCAAGGTGTCGATGTTATTGGCGGTTTTGGAGGTTGACGGACCAGATACGTTTCGCTTCAAGAAGGGAAAGGATGCAGGCAAGGAGTCATTTGTGCTGAAGATGATCTTGGGTGATGAGGAGGGAAATGTCTGCAAGCTGACGGCATGGAGGGAGGTAGCAGAAGACTGGGGTGGGTGTGGTTCTGACATCGGTGCGAAACGAGGAGACGTTCTTCTGCTGACTGGTCAGTCCTGTTTTTTTTCCCGTTCATCTCGGGGAACGTTCATTGCTTTCCGAAGATGTTATGGCTGGCCACGAGCCCGCCACTGCTGTTACGCTGACAGCCTCTCCATGGCATAAACCAAAGCTTGAGATTTGTTATCGGACCATGCCCTATTTGCATGAAGACCACCGACTTCGGCCAGATCTGCGATTGGGCGCGAGTGACGCTTGTGTGCGAAAAGTCGCTGCGGTGGTTACATGGTTCGAGAATATGGCTGGGCTGCCCGCGCAATGACTTGTGAACCTTTCGCCGTTTGAATTTTTGTCCCTTCTTGATCATGTGTTGATTGTCAGGTTTCGGGCCGACTAGTTGACCATCTTGCTGATCGTCATTGGTCTAACCGTAACTGCACGGGCTCCCACCTGTATATCACACGTCGTCGTCGCGCGGAAGACTCGCTCAGGTATATATACCTCGCTCAGCTTCCATGCTGCTCAAAGCCGACTTGCCGGTGGCCGTCGATGGAAGTGCCCCCTGGCATCAAGTATCTCGCAAGAGCATTACCGGTTGCGCTTTTGCCTTGCGCTCTCGCATTTGCCAGTCTTTTGCGTGTCGACTTACCTCTCGGGGCTCGCATTCTCCTCTCCCTCCTCGCCAACCCGCTCAGCCTATTCGTCTCCGATTGGTATCAGCAATTTCATGAAGCCCGGCATGCAAGCTCTCGTGGGGCAGAGCTGATTCCGGTCGTCCGCGACTCTCGTCCATTCGGACTGGGCACGTTGGCGAAGCTGAGGGAAAGCTTTAGGTCAGGGTATCCTGGTATGTCGCCCGAGCCGCCCGATTCTTAACTAAGGCCACGTATCGGAAGGCGATTTCATAGAGGGTTGGCGTGAAGAATATGGTCATACATTCATGACCAAAATCTTCTTCGATCGAGTGGTACGTTGAGGGCAATAGATTCTGGGTCTTCAAGTGGCTTAGTTTGCGGCAGATAACTACCACTGAGCCGGGTCATGTCAAAGCTATTTTGGCCACAGATTTCGACAACTTTTGGAAGGGACCGCAGGAAGCGCAGATGAGCCAGTCGCTTCTTGGCTATGGTACGCGATTATGGACCAACTAATGCCGGTGCTGAAACTCCACCAGGTATTTTCAATACCGATGGTATGTTACCGGCTTGGCCTCATGTCTGGAGTCTGACACCCACAAGACGAGCTGTGGAAATTCCATCGGAGCATTACTCGCCCTTTTTTCAGTCGAGGTGAGTAGCGCATGTCCCCCATTTTGTCGTGTTCTAACACGCTCCTCACAAGAACGAATCAGCGATTTCGACATTTTTAACCACCACTCCCTCGCTGCGCTTGAACTCCTCAAGACCCGTTTGGCCAACGGCTATGCAGTCGACTTTCAGGATCTCGTCTCCCGATTTACCCTCGACTCCGCCACCTCCTACCTATTCGGCAAATCCATCGACTCCATGTCCGCTGGCTTACCGTACCCGTTCTCGTCCCCACTTGCCGACTCGGGAGCTTTTGTTAACCACCCTTCCACGACTTACGTCCGCTCTTTCGTACAGAGCCAGCTGATGACACTGGAGCGTGCGGCGCTGCAAAAGCGATGGCCGTTGTTTGAATTCTGGAAGGACCGCATCAAGCCTCATCGGAAGGTCGTTGACGAGTTCATTGAGCCTATTTTGAACGAGGCATTAGAAAAGAAGCGACGGAGGAAAGAGACGGCCGCAAATGGAAAGACAGTTGAAGAGAGTGGGGAGGAGGAAACATTTTTGAGCCATTTGGTTGAAGCAACGGACAGTGCGTCTTTCATTGCGTTAGTCAGTTTGATTCCTCACAGCTTTTATAGATAAAGAGATCATTCGTGACTCGATTTTCAACATTTTAATCGCCGGCAGAGACACGGTAAGCGGAGCATTCGATCACATTGGACCAACACTGAAGCTCGAACAGACGGCCGCAACGCTAACGTTTGCCATCTATATGCTTGCCGAACACCCGGAGATTCTCGCCAAACTCCGAGCCGAGATCACTGAGGTCATCGGAAGCTCCCGAATGCCGACATACGAAGATTTCCGCCACATGAAATATTTGCGGGCATTCTTGAACGAGACTTTACGCCTATATCCCCCGGTGTACGTTGTCTACTCTCCCAAATTGCAGGGTTCATAACGACTTCTAACAGTCCGTTTGATTCGCGGTTTGTCCCACCTTCTAGATTTAGAACGGAATTTCTTATGAGCCACTCACAGCGCATCGAAGCAAGCGACGGTGTTCAATGCTACACGACCTGGGGAAAAGACACTCTTTGTGCCAGCAAAAACTAGGTAAGCATTGCCAACGCACGATCAATCAAGATTCACTCGCCCACAGAGTCCGCTATAGTGTTTTTGTGATGCACCGCCGCACCGACCTCTGGGGACCAGATGGTGTGTTCCCAGATAATCTAGTCTCGGATTGTTCTTGACCGTTTGATTAGCGCTTCAATTTGACCCTGATCGGTTCTTGGACGAACGAGTGAGGAAATACTTGACGCCAAACCCATTCATTTTCCTTCCGTTCAATGGCGGTATGTCCCGATAACACCCATCTCCAATATACTGACAGTAAGCCGACAGGTCCTCGAATATGCCTTGGTCAACAGGTGAGGCTCCATCGAGACCGGTATTATTGGTTGTTGACCATATCAACCAGTTTGCCTACCACGAAGCGTCGTTCTTCCTCGTCCGCCTTCTGCAGAGCTTCACCAACATCAGTCTTGCACCGGACGCTCAACCCGAGGAATCCAAGCCGCCAGAGAGCTGGAAAATGCGCCCGGGCACGCAAGCGAACGAGAAAATCCAGCTTGGTCTGCACCTGACGATGTATTCCAAGGTGCGCTTCCGCCCTGTGGCTATTCGACTTATATCAGCCTGACTTATTTTTCGCTAGGGTGGCTTGTGGGTACGGATGGACAGACTTGCCCCAGAGACCAACTCGGAAATTGCATGAGACGCAGCCCACCACCATATGCATTCAAGTTCCTTAAGACACGTGTACATTACTAATTTGACATCTTCATCCTTTGCTTCAGCACTATATATGCATTGAGCCCACAGGCTCCCACTGACCATATCTGTTCCGAAACGAGCCTGGGTCTCTTTCAATGCGCAACTTCAAGTTCGATCTGTGCTGCTTGTGGAGTTGCCATAGCTTCAATTCAACTTGGGGCTCCAGACACGGCTGTGAGCCATCCTGCTTCGGCCACCATGAAAGCTGCACTTCGAAACACTCCACTCGCTCCCGCCCACTCCGAGATTCCACGAACTCGAAAAACTTCTGGTGGTCGAATGACAATTGAGTAGCGCAGCTGAACGTATGGAGGTCTGGGACAAGGATATGTGTGACCCGATTTGAGGTCTGTGTGTCTGTGGGAAGTTCTTTGGGAAAGACTGTTTCCGTGAGTCGGCTCATGAGCTCATTGGTGAGAATTGTCGTGGTAGGCTCGGAGTCCCTCAGGGCAAGCTGATCAGAGAATGCGAGCGTTTGCAGGCGAGGAAGTTCGGTTAGTGCGGAAAGCAGCTCCAGCTCACTGAGGAACATATGGCGAACGTCAAGAGTATGGAGATGTGCGTTGAAATGCGATCGTCCAGCTAGCGCGCGAATGGTGGCATCAGGCCATGGTACAACAGCAGTGGGATAGCCAGTGCACTTGAGCACTAACTCGCGGAGAGACCGCAAGGTGATAGAGGAGAGCAATACATTGAGAAGCTTCACACAAGCATATAGTTCGTCGGACTCGAAGCAATGAGTATCAACGGAGGCCCAAAGCTTTGTGATCTCGGATGAGGAATGGAAGTTTATGTTTGCGTGGCGATCGAAATCTGCTGCGAGGGAAATATAGGCCGCACCCGAAAGTCTGGGCAGACAATCCAAAGCAAGATGAAGCGTGCTTGGAACAACATTTTTATATAGGACGTGTTCGAGTTGCTCCAGCGGGAGCTGTTGCAAGGACGTCTCTCCGGAAAAAGCTACCGCCCTCAACTTTTGAGCATCTCGAAAAACAGAAAAAGTGTCGATTGTCCACCGGTCTTTGCCGTGACGGCGGTCTTTGATTTCGAGACTTTTGAGGCTAGCCATTTGTTTGTGAAAGCCGAAAGCAAGCATAGTTGGTCCGGGACAGGTGAGAGAGGCAGTCCTCCAGCGATGACACGTGGCACCGAGCATGGAAAGTGCCTGAGCAGCCTCCTCCGCCAGGGTGGGCGACACATAATGCACAATCTTGACATGGAGTAACGATTCTTGCGACCGTTCGAGCCCGAGTTTGAGCAATTCGAGGGCCTGTTGGCTTCCTCGGGGATCCTTTGCACCCCATTCTGAGCAGACGATGGAGAATTCTGTCCACAACTCGGCAGTATCCATGACAACGTGGTGCCATCGAAAGCAGACTTGCGAGAGAGTAAGCAGCGGGGCGAATGCAAGTCGCAGGAGCATAGGAGAGCAGGCTTTGAACCGTGGCTCGACACATGGTATCAGGTTGCGCTCGAGGGTAACTGGAACGTCGGCAAAGGTTGTCCAAACGCAACGGAAGATGTTGACCAGAATCTCCGTAGGCAATTGGTGGATGGGGGAGTATAGACTCTTTGCAGCGTCATGGATCGGCTCCAACCAATAACGAAGAGCATTAAGCTGTTTAATTCGACTCTCCAGCCTCCTCATCTCGCCGGCTCCGAGGTCGACCAGCCGTCTCTGGCATTGTGTTATCTCATCGTCGTATGTCCTCATTTCAGTGGTGATTGCTTCAAGATCGTCGGAGAGACTTTCTGGGGGAGACAAGTTGCTTCGGCATAGCTCATAGAGGGACGAGAGATAGATGGGGTCTTGGACAAATCGAGAGGTCGACATGTGTGACCCACATCAAGTTACGCGGCTTCTTACCGGCATAGACCGTGAGTAGTAGTAGAGTACTCGTCCGAGTCTTGTTGAAGTCTAGTCGAATACGAACGCCAGCCATTCAAGTTTTTCGAGTGTTAAAAAAGCTGAAGTTGGTCTTCTTGGATGGCAATTTCTATGTCGTCATGATCAGCGACCGCGGATAGGCAATAGGTTTGCATTCCGAAAAGTTCGCGCGCAAGGCATTTACAACAAGAAGTGGTACTTACAAGATGATCAAGGTGCTACAAGTTACTTTAGTGCTCACACATGTTAAAACTCAACGCGACTGTGCCCTCCCTTGCTTTTAGGAACACCTTCCGCTCGGCCATGAGTCTGGTTCTTACCTCATGCGCCTCACGACGGCCCAAATACCGTCCTCCCTCAACCTGCTCTAGTTCAGCGGAAATTGCTTGGATGAGCTCAAGCGGCAGGCGCGACACTAAAGAGCGCGGATCTTGTTGTGCTTCCAACAGCGCGCGCAGCGCCCATTCGCTTTGTTGGGGAGGCACGGTTGTGGCCGATGGGACCGGTTTGATGGAAGGATCGACAAGAAATACTGCAAGAATTTTTCGATGACCAGGGCGGGTAGGGTCTTTGAGACTGAACGGTGCAACCTTGTGTTGGTAGATGTTGGGCCATGCTAACACACGCCCAGATTTCGTCTCCTACATCAAGACCAATGACTAATTTGCGGAGTAATGAGAAAGCAGACGCACGATTGAACCCAAACTTTGAAGACAATGTGTCTCCCTGTTAATGGTTGAGCGCAAGAGACAGCGAGTCAAAGAACATCCAACTGACCGCTCCATACCATACAGAACTTTTGAACATAATTCGTCGTCTTGCTCGTGATAAACAGGAGGACTAGTCGTAACCCGGAATTCCAGTCTTGATTCAGTGATGTTGTCCTCGTCATAATACTACAGGGCAATGAGTCTCGTGAAACTCCGTCATGTAGGTGACTGACATATATTGCTGAAGCCACGATGCGTTCATTTAGCATGCCTGGATGCCGTTAGCAAATATATGTACGACGGAATAAAAAAATGTCTGGCCTTCGACATGCCAGCTACCACCCGCATACTCCTTGTTCTCTGGCGTCAAATGGATGTTTGCAAGTTTGACAATGCACTGAATAGTCTTGCCCCGCAGCGAGTAAGGAACAAAAGTCCTCTTCAACGCGCCGTTATCTTCCTCATGTGCCTCGGGAAGTATCTCTATAGCATCAAGATATTGGTCGTTGGTCTCAAATTCTCCGCGGTCACGCATTCCGCTGGCCCAAATGCACGGCACCCGCAGTCCAACGTACTTGCGGTCAAACCCGATGAAAGTCCCAAAGCCATATTTCACCTTGATACGGCCCGAACCACCAGGGACCTCGTCTTTTTGCCATTCGCGCAGCAAGTCTTGTTCGGAGCCGTTTATTTGACTCAATACCCGCTCGAAAAGGGGAACGAATGCCCCGATGGCCTGCTCAATTACGCAGTAAAGCTGTTGATGGGTTGTCGGGTGCAGGTTGTTGATGTACGGAGAAACAAGACGGGCTTCAGCAACGCCATCAGGCTTATTTGACGAAATGGCAAAGTCGGATGGGAGCCAAGAGTACTTTTCCGACAAGCAGTGCGCATTAATGTCGTCCGAGAGCCATATTTTCCACGATTTTTCGTAAGGAACGGCCACTGTCGTGTTTGTTGTTGAAGCAATGGTTCGGCCGTACATGATGGGATAGAGAGAGGGGTGAACAAGATCAAGAACTTGGTCGTGGGACCCCGGATGCCAGTCTTTTTCACTGTCAGGAATATCTTCGAGTTTGGCAACTTCAGTTCGCAACAGTTGAGCAAGGTCATCGGTGATGAGCTTGTCAGAATACCATATTGCGTCAAACGGACCAGCCTAGTGGGATTAAAGGATACCCAGAAAGAAGACAAAGACATACCTCGAGCCCGAGTGGATTATTTGCTAGCTCAGAGTACGCAGCCAACTCCGTCAAGGTGAAGTTGATCTTGAAATTTGTTCAAGCCCCAAACGACGAGAACAGACCGGGTTTCACCATATTTTTCGTCAATTTTTCGTATTTAGGAAGAGTTATTTGTTGCTCCGTCGCTTCTTCACGCCATTTCTCCATTATCGTCGCGTCCTTGGCCTTTCGACGCCAGTCGGGTTTGCTTCGAATCGCCCAAGAAAGTGCGTACATTCGGAGTTCTGCCAGCTTAAAACAAAAAAGTTTCAATCAGAGAACTTGTAGTGGAAACGTCAAGGCACATACTGTACGTGGAGGAGGACCCCAGCAGGTTTCTCCGCGAGATGACTCTTCCGAGGTTCCAAAGGCAACAAAGGGGAGCGGAAAAGTCCAGCTCGGCTTGACAATGGGTTGTTCGAATTCGGCCGTCTGGCGATATGATCTTTCTAGAATCGCTGCAAATTTCGCATCATGCTCCTGGCCCGAGGCCATGGTGGTCTGAAGGAAAGAATTTGACGCTTACGTCAGCCGCCTGATGGGTGTCGAATGCAGTCTCGAGACTCGAATAGGTTCAAAAACTTCATATGCACTTGTACTAGTCAGCTTTGTGTGTGTGCAATAATCGATGATGAGAAACGACCTACCCCAGTTGAGCCGTTCTGCACTCAGTTTTGATGCCTCCTTGGCTTTATCAAGTATTATTTTATTGTTAGAGAGGCCTTCGAGGCTTCCAGTGAGCCAAGGAGCTTTGAGAGCCACCATTGACACCTACGACTCTAAGCTACGAGTTCTTTCGCTTCTCCAAGCTCTTGTGGAAAGCCGCTCTCCACACGAGCGTTAACAGGGCAGACAGAACTCCATATGGCGGAAATAGCCAGCTCAGACGCCACGACCAGCCTGAGTCACGTTTTAGCACTCGTACCAGCTCATTAACGTGTCCTTCAAGATCTTCAGGTGACCCAGAGTTGTCGACAACGTGATCTGCATACAATATCTTGTCCGTTATGGGAAGTTGCGAGTTGAGTCGGGCGGATGCGTCTTCCGCAGAAGAGTTGTCCCGTTTCATCAGCCTCTCTAGTTGCACCTCCGGAGAGCTACATACCGTTTAGTTAGCGGTATGACATTTGGAGGTACACTCCTCACCAGAATACAACCACGATTTTGCCATAGAACCTCCACAACCCGCTCTCGATTAGCAGCGGCACATCAAGCACACAGAACCTCCTTCCTGACAGCCAATTCTTCACAACCTCCCACAACATCGCGCGTCTTACAGCCGGGTGAACGATGGAATTCAGCTTGCGTCGCTTGGCCTCGTCATTGAAGATGATAGAGCCGAGTTTCTTGCGGTCTAACGAGCCATCGGGGAAGAGAATATCTTGTCCAAAGAAAGCCACTATCTTCCGCAGCCCAGTCGTGCCTGGCGCAACGACTTGACGCGCCAAAACATCGGCGTCGATGAGAGGAATGCCTTTCGCTTTGAGGAGGTTTGATACTGATGATTTGCCGGTCGCGATACCTCCCGTAAGTCCGACGACTGGAAGTAAAATGCATAAGTGCATGATATTTGCACGAAACCGCGTTCACCAAGCATGAGAGTTGTGAATGAACCTTTGACGTGTCACTTTTTTGATGGAGAGATTCTCTGCTGTTGACGATGTCGAAAGCAGAAGGCGACCTGCTAGATTTGCTGCTCCAACTCAAGGTAGCTACAATCCTCTGGATTCCGTGCCACTATCCACAATTTGCAATAGAGAACGACACCTCAAGCAGCGAAACAACTGCTCAACAGCCAGCCAGCCATCGCTTATGCCCTTATCTCTCTCATGGTCTCGATGAATGCAATTGACATCGACGTTTTCCAAGTATATAACTTGTCCAAGAAGTTCTCTGCAGTGCTAAATTTCACACAGAAAACTCTAGCTTCACACAGTGGGGCTAGCGTCGCTCCACCGGCCCCAGTACCACTCTCTGCCATCCCCCCTCACATGCAGCCCTCTTCGCGCACCAATACTCCTCCAGTTCAACCGCCATATCCTCAACATTACCCGTCACACACTCCAACGCCTCCCAATGCTGGTGCTTACCCCGCCTATAACGCGTATCCACAACCTGCCGCGGCAACGCCACCACCAACTCGGGCTCCTCCCCCGCCTGCCATTCCTGAGTCTATGCTAGCTGGCATGTCTGAAGAGCAACGGGTAAGCCGTTTGCTGTCCGTTGGCCCTCGCTAATTCCACTTCCAGCAAATGCTAATCAACGTGTTGTCGATGACGCCAGAGCAAGTCAATGCGCTCCCGCCAGCGGACAGGACCAATATCATGCAATTGGTACTCTCTTTCGCTCTAGTAGTCACTGTTCTTGACCCCCCGATCAGAGAGCGACATTGGGCATTCGTTAATCCGCGACGTAAGTAGCTCTCGTCCATCTCATAGGTGCGGCGTGAGTTGGCTTCAAAAGTTGTTGGTTCAGCGTGTCGATGCCCGTCGTCGAAAATCCAAAACGCAAAGCGTGTAAGCTGGAAGTAATGGAATTCTTTCTAGACTGTTTTCTCGCATGTGCGACCTTTTTGCACGATTGATTCAAATGGATTCAACACTACTAAGACAGAATTTATCGCTAGCTACTGAAGACGATCAAAGAGCGCCACTGGCATCCCTTCGATCGAGTCTTCGTTTGTGAACAAACTCGACGGTCGGTGGTGAGAAAGTACTCGCCGATTCTCAATCAAGTCTGGCAACAGGTCAGAAATCAATGAAGTTTCGACGAAGTCGGTGACGAACCTGTTCCCACTCCCACAACGGTCGGTTGCCGATTCTCAATTGCAGTGTCCTTCTCGCAAGGCTGGACGGTCGACTCGTTGATCGCGGGGCTTGAATGCGCCTTCGTTCGTCATGCTTGTCGATTCTCAATCCAGACTTGCAGTTGGTGCGGGTCCCAAGGGTCGGATAAATCCAATTCTCGCTTGAATGCCGCTATTCAGGAACACTGGCAATGGTCGGTCGCGCGATTCTCGGTTGTGGGAGTTGTTATTTGCTTTGAGTTTCGATGTCTGTGCTGGAACCATTGGAATATTGCCGAAACCCCAGGCAGAAAAAGAGGAGAGAGAGAGAGAGGTGAAGAGAGAGAGAGAGGAAAAGAAGAATAAATGCAGCAACACAACTCTATGGGTTCGCAAGTCGGCGGTCGTATGGCAATCGCGGGGTTGTCAAGTAGTTGCAGATACTCCAAATCGGGGGGTGGTTCTTCGAGGCAAGAAAAGGAAGGCGTCCCCTGCTTCTCTGTCGAAAGTTGTTGTCCCTCGTCTCTTCGTATTCTTGCATACTACTCTTCGCCGTCGTTCGTTGCTTTCCGATTCTCAACCGACTTTGCGAACCGCTCCTTATTGTTCTCTAGAGAACTGGCAAATCAAGGTAAGCGCGATGGAGAGAGAATCATTCAGAAGACGCACAGGCATGGCGGCGGCGGCGAAATTGCCGCTTCACGCTATGCCATGTTTGAGGAGTCAAGAACTTTGCCAGGCCAACCTAAAAGCCTTGAGTAAAATCGAATTTTCACTCTAAATGACGCGACTTACGATATCATAGTCGCCGTCAACGAGAATAAAAGCGGGCAAGATGGCAAGCTGCGTCGAGAAACAGTAAGTATCTGTTGTTGAAAGGATGGGTCGGAGAACATACCGCATTCCCAACGACTCCCAGGACCATCCAGCTCTTCGTCAAAACGCGAATAAAATCACAGGCAAGCAGCGCGAGGTCTTCGTATTGTTGGCTTCTGAATGGAATTGCTTGCTCACGAAGATGCACCATAAGTTGTTCAAGTCCGAATGATCCATGCGATGCGTTCCCCCACATTTCGCCAACGCGTGCATTTCCGAGACCCTGGTCCAGCGCAGTGATCACCGCAAATGCGGACAGGCAAAGGTAGAAAACGAAGATCAAAACCAAAGGACGATCGTGAGTGCATCTTTTCCACAAGTTGTTGAGCGAGGAAGGGGCGTTCTTGACAATTTTTCGCATTGTAGAGACGAAGGATAATGCGAGATAGACCACGGTAGTGAATGCGATGACCTGAAGAAAACGGTGATCAGAAAAGTGAATGAGATGAGAAGTGCAGAACGTACGTGTTTCAGCTCGGCATTCCAATTGGATGGTAAGCCCACATTGGCAAAAGTCCAGTGGAGGATGCCTCGTATTTTGCCCACGGTCAACAGCCAAAGCGGCCAGTTTGGAGTGGAACCCCATTGGTAAACGGCCCACTGCAACCCCAAAACAGAGAAAATGGGGAGCAAGAGAAGATAGGGCGAAGCCAAGAGTGTTGTAAACACGACCAATGCCTCCCATGCTGGAAGTATATCTCGCGGGGGCAGATATGGATGCAGCGCTCTAACGGAGAGGATGACGGAGACCCATAACGAATGGCTTATGGCGCTGAATACTAGCTTTCGTGTTACGAAAACCAACATCGAAGCAAAATATTGGACGCAAGAAGCGATAATACCAGGCACTTCACGCATTGGCCAGACCATGGCATCAATGATGACTTCTTTCAACTGTGAGCCACTCAAGGGAAAGAAGAGCCAAGCGGCCACGATGAGAAAGAGACGAAGGAATCGTGGGGTTCTGAAGCCTGGAGTGGAGCGAATGGTGAGCCATGCACCGACTGCCGCGAAGAGGAAAGAGACGAGTAGGGCCAAAGCCAAGACATTAACCGGCGTTGGCAACAGGCAATGATTGGACAATGTCGGTGGAAGACTAAAGAACTCGGTCTTCGTAGGGATTGGTTCGAACGGGACGACGATTGGCACTGGCTCGAGGTCGATGGTGATCTCAGTGGCCAGAATCGTTTCTGCAGCAAGATCGTTCAGTTCACGGGAGCGGCGACGAGCGGACAACATGTAGGAAACCCTTGCCCCGTAGAGCAGCATGTGAATTGGACCTATGAGGCAACCAAAGAGTTGCGATCTGAACGATGGGGGCGAGTACATGGTGGGCTGAAACAAGAGGGATGGAGTGGCGTCACACTCCGTCACACTCTTCAAAAGGGGTGACACTTCCAAGTAACAACTGGTCGTCTTACGAGGCTTTCGGTTGCTAGCTGTGCTACTGGGACTTGTGAAGAAGCAGCCGTCGATATTTGGTCTATATACACAGGAGGAGACAGATAAACGTCAGAGGCAAATCTTGTCAATCACTCTTCTTATATAACGGAACCGTACGGAACCTTCCTCTTCCCATCCACCACCACTGACTCTCCGTCAACTCTGCAGTACAGTATATGCGTATCCGCTTTGCTGCTCCGGCAACCCCCGACTGCCACCCGACTCTTTCCGCTCGGAGATATCGATCACCATGGTCCGGTTTTATCTTCAACCCCCGGCTTGTCGCGACGGCACGAGTAATTTCTTTGTAGCGTGCTGCCGAGGGGGCAGAGTACTCTCCCGACGCGCTATATAATGCGTCCATTCCAGACTATGATTTTCCACCCCCCAAACTACTATGTCGACTTCAGGTGCATCTTCTCCCTCACATTTTCACCGTGCTCTGACTGAATTTCAACTAGATAACTCGGCGAACAGCACCATTGTCGTCCTTCAGCGGAACAAAACCCACGACGATGGAGCTCCTGACCTCAGCTTTCCGTTCCAAACCACCAACATATTTGAAGGCGGTATCACCGATGAATATAGAACTTCCACTCGGACCGGTTTTGTCGACGCGCGCCATGCGCTACATCCTGTTCCATCGCGAGGAGCGGCGCCTCCTCACGTCCTTTTGGACCCAGAGAAGGCCGATCAGCTGGGACGAGTGTTACTAGTTACTTGGAAGGAGGACGACAAAGACGACCCGCGGAATTGGTCTCCCGTGTGGCGCTGGTGTGAGTTACTCCTGGTGTCTGCTATTGTTGCTTATCATCTGCCAGATATCACCCTTGTCGTTGCGCTTGCTGTGGTCTCTGTTGCATTCGCCAGCGCTGTCATAACTGGCGACTTCAAGGACATCCAGGATGAGTTTGGGGTCAGCGAGGTGGTCACTGCGCTGACTGTCTCTCTTATGGTTGTCGGATTTGGGTATGTTTCGCCAACTTTCCATATTTTTATCGCTGAGCATTTCGAAAGAATCGGTCCGTTGGTTTGGTCACCACTCAGCGAACTTTATGGCCGCAAACCTCTCTGGATCATCCCATCGTTACTCTACGTTAGTAAGTTCATCTCTCTTGGTCTCCGAACAACCCATTGAGCTTAAGTTTTCAATATTCCGTGTGCTGTTGCGCCGAACATCGGGACACTTCTTGTCTGCCGCTTCCTCTGTGGTCTTTTTGCATCTGCACCACTCACCCTTGCTGGGGGCACCATCTCCGACATTTGGGACAACAATGAACGTGGATTGGCCATCGCTCTCTTTGCGGCGGCACCCTATGGCGGGTTGGTACTACCCTTCCAGTTGTCATTTGGCTTATTATGTTATAGTCCTGTCTTGGGGCCCATTGTTGGCGGATTTGTCGGCGAGAAACTCGGCTGGCGATGGATTATCTGGGTTAACATGATCTTCGCGGGCTTCATGTTGGTGTAATGTTGTCCACACCATCTAATTGCTCATGGTATTCTAGACTTCTCCTTTGCGCGACAATACCTGAAACCTTCGCACCTGTCATCTTACGCAAACGGGCTGCGCGTCTGCGTGCTGATACTGGACGCGAGAACATCGTCACAGAGCAAGAACTGTTCAAAGCGTCATTTTCTCAAATATTAACAGAGACTCTTGTACGACCATTCCGTGAGTGTTTGTGCACCAACTATCAGCCTCTTCCTCTAATATGTCCTAGAAATGATCGCGACAGAGCCGATACTTCTACTTATGTCGCTCTATGTTGCTCTGATCTACGGCTTGCTCTATGCGTTCTTCTTCAGCTTCCCGGGTATGTTCCACTGATCAACATGATTTTCCTAAACTGATTCATCCTAGTCGTATTTGGCGAGGACTACCACTTCAGCGACGGCATCGTTGGAGTCACCTTCTGCTCTGTGCTCATCGGTCTCGGAATTGCGCTGCTTGTCACTCCCCGGCTCGAGAAAGACTATTTGAGGCGTGCGGCAGCCAAGGGCGGTAGGGCCGATCCTGAAGACCGGCTCATTGGCATGATGATCGGGAGTCCTTTCGTGCCAATATGTGCGTTTTTAGTCCCTCACAAAAAACACATTTTTGACTTGCCACAACAGCGCTATTCATTTTTGGGTGGACAAGTCCGCCATATGTAGCACCTGGCGGAGGCAACTGGGTTGGTCCAGCTAGTGCTGGTATTCCATTTGGCTTCGGGAGTAAGTGCACCTATTGATATTTCGGGGTTGATTTGACTTGTTACAGTGGTCATCATATACTTCTCTGCCAACGCGTACCTCATCGACGCCTTCCCGGGCTTCGTAGCGTCAGCACTTGCAGCCAAAACGGTATGTCTGGCCCGCCCATTCCCTGCCCCGCTTACACAAATTCAACTTGAAGGTCATCCGTTCAGGCGCGGGCGCCGCAATGCCGCTATTCATTGTCCAGATGTTCCACGGACTGGGCAATGGATGGGCCGCGTCGCTCCTGGCCTTTGTCTCGCTAGCTATGGTCCCCATTCCACTACTTTTCTACCGCTTTGGACGGGACATTCGCAGGAGATCCAAACGTGCTGCAGTATGATATGAACTTTCTTGGTCGAACATTCCCTGTCTTGGAGTTACACTACGTTACAAAGCTACAGGTGTAGAGCTACATATCTACTTATTCCTAAAGTCTAATTTTACAAACTAACTGGGAGGAAACCCATTCATTGGCCCCGCTCTGTCAACGAACGCGCAAGCGCAACCCTGTCACCCTTCAGGAAATGAGCGAAGATGCTAATATCGGCCGCCGGTATCGGGCCGAAGGGGAAGTCCGTCAGGTGACGACGAAGCGCAGATTCAATGTCGCCGACAGCATTCCCATTCGACTGTTCGTTGAGCGGCGGTGCTGCCAAATAGCTCGCCGAGTTCTCGTCACTCTTAGTGCTTTGCCGCAAACCAGAAGAAGAGTCGGTAACGCGAGGCGGAAGGGGAGTGTGCTGCAGCATGACCCGCTGTTGATCCCATTGTCGTTCCACTGACATTTCGCCTGCGGTGGCCGGAGAGAACAAGCGTCTTCGAATGCCCGTTGGGACGGAGAACCTTGCTTGGCGGGGAGGCGATGGCATTGCGCGGTTAAAACGGGATGAAGATAGGAGCGCTGGAGCAAGAGGAAGCCGAATCAACGTCTGCGGTTGCGATAAGGAAGCGAGAACGTGGGCGTGGAACGGAGTGGACTCCTGGTCGATAGCCAAGGCAAAGTTATTGAAACTCATTTCGTGACGACTAGGAAAACCGCGATGAGTCGTCGAGTCCATGATGATAACCGAGTTGCCTGGTCTTTCGAGTTCCGTGACACTCATTATGCTTTGATCTTGGGCAAGAGGCGTCGAGGTTGGGGTAGAACTGGGAGTCGCGCAGGAGATCAGAGGAGAAGTGGGTGCCAGTGTGTCATTGCTTCTTGATTTGCGCTCCGTTGGACTTGGGGTAGCTGGTAAACGAGCCAATGCTTGATCAAGATCGCTTGCAGGCACTATATTGCCAAAATCGAGAGGTTGAACCGGCGCAGGTATGGTGTCTTTGAATTCTGCGTTGCCAAAAGATTCTTCCGATGCACGAAGAGGTGATGGCTGGAGAGCGTTATCCGTCTTGACATGGTTGGACGACTGCTCGAGAACACCTTCGATTTTGTCGTGGACATGAGACCCATGCTCCTGGTTCGTCTTGTCCCCCACAAGTCTGGGCTTCCCCTCCGCTTGACCGACGTTAACCCCCAACTGCATCGTGTTCGCCTCGCCAAGGGATCGATCTGGCAAAACGGGCACAATCCGGGCGTTGTCTTGAAAGTGGTCCATCCTGTTTTGGTCAAGCACAATGATTGGCAATGGGTGGTTGTGAGTCGGTAGATGGGGATGCCGTGGAAGCCATGAAATCACCCGAAATACTGCCACCACCGTGAGAAACAATAAGAGAAACAAAACGCCAAGGAAGATGGAGATGTGGGGAATCAGTTGCCAAAAGTTCTCCATAAGTTTCTTGAGGCAGTGGCCGAGTTGCGCCCATAGCCAATTCCAGATCACATCCGCCCAGTCGTTCTCCGAATCTATCAAGCCCAATGAAATGACCATCAAAGTGGCCGTAAAACCGGCACAGACGGTGTCGGCGAGGTCGAGGATTCTTGATATAACGAGATGCAGCCAGATGACGAGGAGGCGCAGCAAGGGGATATGATTTCCTTGAGATAGTTCGGCCTCGAGGATAGCTTCGCATGTGTACCCTTGACGGAATGATTCGAAGCACGGCCGAAAGGCGGGATCTGCGTTAGGTCGAACTCGCCCATGGAAACGGGAAGCCAGGAGGAAGCTGAACGCGAGGAACAAGGCCACTTTCCAAATCGTGGGCAGTTTCATTGGGTAGACTAAGACCTGTATGGGTTTGAGTTCGGGAATATATGGCAGGATAACAGCCCACACCATGCAAAGAAATACAAACCGAGGGGAGGGAGAAGGGGAAAGAAAGTGGGTCACGAATTAGAAATGATTGTGATCTTGGAGCTCGAGGGTCACAGGTGCAGTGTGACAGCCTTGTCGCCACTTGCCTAAATACCACCATGCCTTTGAGTCCGACCTCTGTCCCTGCCTCTCTTCGACGAGCAGTCTCCATTTTTCTTCTAGGGACAAGTTTATGCTTGATTCCACAATGGTTCAGAGCAATGCCCGCCCATACTCTCCATACGCCCACCAAAACCATTTCCCATGGCTTCCCTCCGACTCCTTGTGCTCCGTATATTTCCGATGCGACCATACCAGCAGTCCTCTCACTCCTCCTCACTGGACTTGCCGCTATTTGCGTCTGCATCAGTCTCCTCCATGGTCAAATAAGGTTTCCATGGTGGCGGACTGTTGGTGTCGCCTGCATGTTGATTGGTTTCAACCTGGTCGGCCATAATTTAGTCCTTTCGAGCATCCAACACAGCTTCTCTTGGTTGTTTCTCCTCGTCGAAAACCAGAGCTTGCAGCTGTGGCGTGCCTTCGGCCATTGTCTCCCGCAATCCACTTTCACGGCCTATATTCGAAACCACGGCTATGGTATAGCACATGAAATATCCCTCGTTGTCCGAACCCATGCTATATGCATGCTTATCTCGACCAAGACACCAACACCGCCCCCTTTTCCACTCGTCGTAAGCGTCATGGCTTCAGACGTTGGTCTATTGGGGTTCCTTCTGTCGCTAGCGACGAAATTACCGCCATTCAAGGATTTGTTATGGGCTGTCTACCTCTGTGGAACAATGCCAGGCTACTGGGGACCCCCGACCATGAGTCGCCTCCGGCAATTGCTTGCTTGGCTCCTCAGCAATCCCTTGGTCATGTCCATCCTCCAGTCCGACTCGCAAAAGGTAAGACAACCTGTCCCATCAAGACATTTCTCTTACCATAATACCCAGACATCGCTTGTCATCGGTCTGCTGCACATGGCATTCGCCTTACCTACGCTCCTGCACTGCAGCGTTCGATTGTTGCGTCCGTCATATAACATCTTCAAGTACTCCCTTATTCAATTCCCGGGTCCTTATCTGCTCATCCACATCATACTTACTCTCTGGATCCTCGCCTTATTGGCGGGGCATTGCTCGATAATCATCCGCGAGAGCGACCCCGCGCTCGACAGGCGTCCTTTCTTCGACGCACTTGCAAATGACCTTCGTGTGATCGCTCCGTTCATGCACGACCGCCTCGAGCCATTCAGAACGAACCAATACGACGAGATCGGCGTAATCAGAGCACTTTTCATGGATGTAGCAAAGTCGGTGTGGACATCGTTGGATCTGAGCCGCCAAATGGTCAGTCTCTAACCACGTTGATCTTTTTTTCAGATCTTAGTTTTGTTTCAGCTCGTGCTAGGTCCCATAGTAGTCTTTCGCGTAAAATACTACTTGGTGGGTGACGCTGACATGATTGCATGAATACCCACTTACAGATTTGCAGATTCCTGCCATTCGGAGGACTAAATGGTGGAGACGATGGCAACGGCGGCAACGGCAGCGTCGACTTGAAGAATGTGAGTCCGCCAGTCTCATCAAATCCGATATTAACTCCGTTCTAGAGATGCCATTGGTTGGTTGAGAATCGCAATGCAACGAACGACGGTTAACACGCAGGAATACGAAAGGACTCGATAGCATTTGACAGAGAGGTGGTAGGGGACGCCCTACTTCCCCGGCGTCAAGAGCCGCATCCTGGCCCGCACTATTTGCGCTTCTTAACCCCGCGATTGCTATGCGACCGCCGACTTGGAAAGTTGTGTTTGCCTCTTCTTGAATTCTGTCTCTGTCACTTCTCTTTCTCTTTGGGCCTTCTGGGTGTTCCGTGGGCATATTTTCTCGCCCTCCATTGTCCTTTTGCCACCGAAAATCCACTGGAGCGACATTCAAGGTCGACAACGTACAACTTTGGTCAAGAATCTCCCCTCGGCACTTGCGTCATACTCCCACAATCGAGAATCGGGCGACCGACCGTCAGCAACGCCAACAGCGACACACAAGCGAGAATCGGATCTCAGTATTCGACCCTTGGAGCGCATCAGCAAGTCTGGATTGAGAATCGACCGGCGACGAACGAAGGCATAGTCAAGCCCCGCGATCAGCTAGTCGACCGTCCAGCCTTGCAGAGTTGGGAGTTGCGATTGAGAATCGGTCACCGAGTCGGACCGTTGGGGGGTATCAGGAACAGGTTCGTCATCGACTTCTCTGAGAATTGATTTGACGTTGTGCTAGACTTGATTGAGAATCGGGCATGCTGTTGCCAACGACCGTCAAATCTGTGTCCGCGTAGAGTTGGGGCGGAGAGTCACCAGTGGTGCTCTTTGACCTTGGTAGTTAGCGGTGGTGCTTAGTTTCTGAATATAATTCGTTGCTTGAACATAGGTTCAATCTGTTTATGACAAGAACTCAAGCCCGCACTTACTAGTCAGCTCTCAAACGGCGAGACTGCTAAGAAAGCAAGAACTGGAATGTGGCAGTCACATCAAAGATTCTCTCTTTCTCCCTCCGTCCACTTCTTCCTTACCGCCGACAACTTTCGGGTCCAAGATGACCATATCAGCTATCGGAACATCCTCAACTGGCGACCATGTTGGTCCCGGTCAGCATCCACGCCCGCAACCTCAGGCTTCCGCGGACATGGGTCGTTTCCTCAAACTACATGGATTGCTGACTTATCCCATCTAGTGCATGGCTCGCATTCAACCTCCCACGTCCCATTCTGCGGCTTCGCTCAAGATTGAGGCGGAAAATTAGTTTGCATGACCTCGACGATGAAACGTGGTCTAGGTCGAGGCACTGCCCTTCCACCAAATCGCTATGGTATCCCAACGGACACGCACAGTTTTACTCTTCCGGCGCGCTCGCGGGAAGCTATAGGCTACTACCAGAGTAAATCCGGGCCGGCTAAAATTTATACCGCAGTGCGTGTTTGCTCGACCTCGTTATGCGCCGTTGACTGACTAAACGTCAAGCGACCAGCACCACACCTTCATCCTCGGCTCCTGGCCGAAATTCTTAGATGCCAATGTCCTATCTGCAGCACCCATGATAACCACACTCGATTTTCTCTCTCTCGCTGGGAAATGCGCAAGACCACCCTGTCTCCAGGACCTTCTCGACACAAGTAATTTCCCTCCTCACTGTTCTGAGCCCACCAACCGCTTGCACCACATACTCTCCCCGAGAAATGGGGCACCATGGCGGTGTTCCGTTTTGCTCGGCAGATCATGGCTGGGCGACTGCAGGCTAGCACAACAGCTCCCTTCGGCCTAGGAACGCGTCGGGCCCTCTACGGTGGCTGCGGACCGGTTTCTAACCTACACCAAATCAACTTGGTTTTGTTCTGGACCTGGTTTTCTCTTGCGATTGCGCATTGCTTCCTGGAGGTTATCCACCAGTATTTGTCTCTGTGTCCGAGAGCGGCCTTGCGTGGTTTATTCGATGTCGGGGATGTGCAGGGGATTGTGGGCCATATGGACACTTTGTAGACTCATTGTTGTCTGCTTTATGATAAGTAAATTTGCTTCGTTTCTTCTCTGAAGTACAGTCAAGTACTGCCTGAGGAAGTAGGCGCACGGTGATTATGGCTACTTACTGATACGTTAAGTTACTACTGGAAACCTGAGCTCGCCAGAGAAGTAGTTGAATAGAACGAGGTTCGTTGCCAACGGTGGTTATCCATGGTGGTGAGAAGGGGAACGTGACTGGCTGAGTTGTGATGAGCGCGAACCTTTTCAATCTAGCTGAACAGAACAAGGGTATTTGATTCGCCACCAAGTTACGTCGACCATGGAGCGCTCCCTCAGCGCTGGTCCTTGTCTGGATATTTTCGAAGAGAACCCGGACCGCGAATCACTGTCACGATATGTCACGCTCGGAAACGGAAGCAGAGCTCAGCCGCCAAATGGTATTAGCGATAAACAGGTGGTCAGGCAGATCTTAACCTAGGCCACCATGCCAGTTCCTCCAGGCATCGTCTACCTCGTTCGCAATCTTCCCGGGGTGTTTCTGCCATCGGTTGGCACGTACTTTGCCTTCACGCGAATCCCCCACCTGCAAATCGTCGCCGCTCGCTTTCGGTGGCTGCCAATCGTAGCGGCGCTGCTCTTACCCAGCCGCTTCTCTCCACCGTCAAAGGCCTCTGGAGCAGTGTTGCGGCATGGAGAGATATAAACCGTCGCGGGGCAGTCTCCATTCCTCGAATTCCCGACCGTTATGGAAGATTGGGGCTCGAGACATTGGCGACGTTGGGCAGGACGATCAAGGTTGGCTACCCAGGTGCGTTGTCGATTCTTCGAGCTACTACCGTGTTAAGTGTGCTTAGCGCAGTCTTTCCACAAATGGTTCAAGCAGTACGGAAACACGGTCATGGTCACGATGCTCTATGAAGACAGAGTAAGCGAAACGCGTTGTTGGAGTCTTACTTCGCCTCAACAACACAACTAGATCATAACGTCGGAACCACAATACGTCAAGGTATAGACAGTTCATAACTGTCTCAAGTTGCTCAGCTTGTCCAGGCTGTCCTCGCCACCGAGTTCGACAACTACTGGAAGGGTGCGACCTCTGCTCGACAAGAGATTGCATCAAGTAACACATTTAGGTCCTGTCGATGGCTACCGTGGTCTTTCGCTATTGGGAACCGGAGTTTTCAACGTCGACGGTACGAGATTTGCCCTTGAAGATACCCTTGGGCCTTTATACGCTGTTTACAGGCGAAATGTGGAAGTTCCATCGCTCAATGACTCGTCCTTATTTCTCTCGCGGTATGCAACATGTTTTGAACCCATATTTTCCTTAGACTCTCTTCACAGACCGCATAACCGACTTTGATACCTTTGACAAGTACTCCAACGATGTTCTGAACCTGGCCGTCAACCGGCTTCGCGAGGGTTACCCAGTCGATATTCAGGTCAGACTATCATTTTCATCTTGACTTTTCTCATTCCAGTAGGACGTTGCCGCTCGCTTTACTCTAGATTCGGCTACTGCATTCCTTTTCGGTGCATCTGTAGACTCCACGTCGGCTGGGCTGGCCTACCCTCAGTCTGCATCCCATCTCAACAGCGCGGAGTTCCTCAATCATCCGTCCAACTCATTCGTCACCGCCTTCATTGAAGGCCAGCGGTTTCATGTGGACCGCTCGCGATTTGGTAGCAAATGGCAACTCGGTGAATTTTGGAAGGATCTTATTCAGCCACATCGCGAAGTTTGTTTCCCTTCTTCATCTTGTCGGAACTCTAATAACCCCGCTGTAGGTCATGGACCAGTTCATCGAGCCGATTATCCAACGCGCACTGAGTCAGAAGGCACAAGGCATCGCAGATAAGAAAGAGGAACCTGAGACGCTATTGGGTCACCTCTTGCTGTCAACGGAAGGTGAGCACGTCTCAATCGCAACTCCGCCTAGTCAACAACGAGTCAGACAAATCGATAATTCGTGACGAAATTTTGAACATGTTGGTAGCGGGCAGAGATACGACCGCCGCCACAATCACATTCGCGATCTACATGCTGGCCGACCATCCGGACAAGGCCCGTCGTTTGCGTGAAGAAATCTTGAATCAAGTAGGTCCAACGAGGCGGCCAACGCATGACGACATCAAGAACATGCCCTACTTGAGAGCGTTCATCAACGAAACCTTGCGATTGTACCCTCCTGTGTGAGTTTTTGCCACAAGGTCAGTCGGCACTCACGTGACACAGACCAATTGATGCTCGGTCATCTATAAACGCCACCACTTGGCCTTCAACCACTCCTGGAGGTCCGCCACTATACGTTCCCGGTAACACGAAGTACGTGAACCTTGACTCTATTCTTTGTCATTCTCAACAAACACTTTCAGGATAGTATATACTGTTTTCTTAATGCATCGACGCAAGGATCTATGGGGACCCACTGGTGCTGGCTTCTCCTGATTATCATTCCCTCGGCTTATCGTGCCCTTAGCTCTCGAGTTTGATCCAGACCGGTTCATTGACGAACGGCTTGGCAAATACCTCACCCCGAATCCCTACATCTTCCTCCCCTTCAACGCCGGCCCGCGAATTTGTCTCGGCCAACAGGTCCGTCTACATTCCTGTGACAACTCGTTCAGAACTGACGAAAGCTCTATTAGTTCGCCTACCAGGAATCCTCCTTCTTCCTCGTCCGTCTCCTGCAGCGGTTCAGCGCGATCCATCTTGCGCCAGATGTTCAACCAGAGTCGAGCAAGCCCCCGCCACATTGGAAGCACTCGGAGTTGAAGAAGATGGAGAAGATCACCTATGGGACGAGTCTGACGATGTATGCTAAGGTGAGTGTTGTTAGGCTTCATTTGCGGCGGTCGACGCTAATTTTTTTAGGATGGCTTGTGGGTGAGGATGGAGCCAGCTTGAGTGTGTGTTCCGGACTATTTCATCGACTAAGTATTGAAGTAACTCTAAGTATGTTCTCCACACTGTTTGTACGAGCTCACGAATCACGATCAATCGCAACATCTATAATATGAAAACACTACCGTGCCGGCATTGACAGAAAGTCACGCAAAAAGTCATGCGTTTTGATCGATGGCACGTGAATTTCATGTGACCACCCCTCGGATACCGCCCGCCGGCTGCGAGCCGCAGGCGAGCGGCCGTGTGGGCGCTGCAAAATAATTAATTTTTGTCCATGCCAGAGGCACGGACGTTATACTTGTATTGGTTAAGGCACTAATCTTCACACGTGATCAGCATCAATCATGCTTGTCCTCAACGAACATGTTACACAGCACATCGTCGCCCACTGCGCTGAGCGATTCGGGCCCCACGTTGTTCCGCATCCCAGCCAGCTGGGCAAACGCATTTTTGTGAAGCGGGGGAACCCAGACCTCGTCGGCCAAGAACAAACACAAGAGGACGTTGCGGCGCAAACGACAGCAACATCGCCCCGCGTGCCAGAAGTATTTGGGGTGTTTAACGACGGCAAGGGAAGCACCTACCTTGTCAAAACAGGCCTTGATGCGAACGGAGACCCGATTACACGAAAATCCCATAGAAGATTACGATTAGCTCTCCGAGGCCCATCTCAGCCGAACAATGCTTCCAGTTCAAACTAAGTAGTACTCGGTCAAGTAGTACAGAAACAAAAGGGTACTTAAAGCTACAAATTCGAGACGACCATACAACAGGTGGGTGCTACACAATTATGATAGTCATGTCCAAATTATTGAGTGGGAAAGGAACAGCGTACAAAAACTTCGCCAAAAAAGGAAGTCGAGGAATCACCCAGTGCCAGAGTTAACTGGTCTCTACTTCGGCCGGAAATGGAGTAATGATTCGCAGCCGGATTGCCTTCGAAAACTGGACCCTGCGACGGGGAGGTTTGAGCCTGGCGATGGCCGGCTTTTCGTCAAGACGGGCTTTCAGCTTTTCCATGTTGACTTGAAACTCGAGAATGTCCTTCTTCAACAGTTTCATACGGGCCATGGGAGACAGAGGCGGACGCTTGTCTTCGATAAGACGCTTCAACGCTTCCCGTCGATCGATTGGTGGAGGTCGGGGCCTGCTCTTGACATTTTCGAAAACCCCATGGTCCTCCTTGGCCACGCGAGGCACGGGCTCATCGTCTCCTGTGCCCTTGAGCGCGACACGCCTATCGTTCCGGTTATTCTGAGTGTCAAGGAGGACGAGAAGGCGATCCAGACGGGGGCTGAGGACTCGGAGAGGCCGGTCTGCCATCGCCGCTTTATCATGATGGTTTGGCAGCGCTGGTTCAAGTCCGAATAGCTGTTCTTCGTTCTGTTTTCTCTCTTCCACATTCTCGGGTTCTTCCACAGCGGGTTGGTGTTGTTGCTCTTCAGCATTAAGCCTTCGGGCAAACGACCAGGGTCGAATTAGAGAGTCAGTGGACCAGAGACCGATGCGGCAAGTGTAGACAGCAAAGGCCAGGGCAATGGCAGCTACGAGACCGGCGCAAAGATATCCATGGATTAGGAGTTGGCGAGGATTGAGGACTAGTGTCGGCCGAAAAGTCTGAACTTGGCGAAGAAACCGTCGAAAAACTACAACGGAGCCGTTCTCAGGGTCTTCGCACGTTACAACGTTGGGCGAGATTAGTCTGAGGGCATAGTAGACGCTGTCTAGGGCGGAGAAGGTCGGGACAGAATGAAGGAGGTAGCCGACAGTGCTAGTCTCGATGAGGAGGAGAGTGGGCGTAACCACCAAGCCAGCGAAGAGCATAATTGATACAGCCCAGGCGGCAAGTACTACTGGCAAGGGCATTCCTGGAGAAGAAGTCAGTGAGAACAGTGTGGGAAGCCTGAGCGAGATTTGAACCGAAGCAGGTGAAAAAACTTTAAAATACGCGGTTTGGCTGCTGTGAAAAGTGTGGGCATATGAATAAGCCATGAAAGGAACGTCTAGGTATTACGGGCGTAATGGGGTGTCGCAGGATGAAGGCGAAGTGGAAGTCGCGTTCGTGACGACCACATGTGTGACTAGCGTGACTTCTGTCTTAGCTTCACTGCTTCGCCTACCATGTTCTCAATCTTCGAGACCATTTCAGCGTTCTTTGCTGCTCTTAGTGCCAAGCACATCAGCCTCTTTGCCTCCAGCTCGAATCAGCTTGCTCCCACCCCCACGACAACCGTCGTCTGCCCTCCAACCGCCACTTTCCTTTTCATCCAGACTCCGTCATTCCCCAGTCTGTTCGCCTATTTATTCCCTCTTCTCACCGTCCTTTTCATTCCGATATTGGCGCTGAGAAGGCGTTGCGATCTGGGAAGAGTGTTCTGCATCTTCTGGATGACAATTGTGGCCACTGTGGTTTGGAGTAGCGTGTCATCTCGTGTTTCCTCCGCATTGGTGCCTCCCTGTTTTGCCCTAGTTGAGATCGTGGTCACTCGTGCTTGGATAGCAGTTTCGGGTTGTGTTGCTTCACTACATGCCCATCTTCTTCTCCACGGTGCGGGTTATGTCCGCATGATGGGTTTCGCAGCCTCGAGCCATGCTGGCTGGCTTATTGTTGCTGGGCTCCTTCTTCGTGCCCCATACATTTTGAACCAGATTCAACCCTCAGACGTGCTTGCCATTCTCGTTGCCTTTGTTTTTCCTCTCTTTATTGACGCCTCCCTCCATCGCCGCACGATGTGGCTCATATATTTTGTGGATGGGACGGCTGGTTCGGAGGTGCAAACTGTGCGCATAATCTGGGACCGTGTCATGGAACAAGTGAGCGGCTACGTTGTGTTTCCCCTGACGTGGTCAACTAGCGATCTTGTAGTAAGACTTTTCTTTCTTTTCCCGCTCCTTTTAGTTGTACTCAACTCGAAGTAGATGCTTGTTGGACCCACGCTACTCCATCTCCTCATTCTCACTGGGGCCTTCGCCTTCTTCGTCGCGATCCGGATTCCGAGCTTCACATTGGGTGCTCTCCTCCACCTGCACAACTATGTTGTCCACCTCGTCTCAGGCCTCTTGATTTTTGTAGGAGGTTTTAGGCTAATATACTCCGCTCTCTTGGTCGCCGCATCACTTCGATTTGCTTCGAATCCCTCACTTGGCCTATTTCTCGACCGACTGTTGGAAGTGTTTTTGTCGCGCTTCTCTGTCGTTCCACCACCCCGAGACATCTTCTACGTGTTGAGAGGCGTAGATGCATGGAAAGCTTCCCAGTCTGTCGAACTGGCTGCCCTCAAGCAAGAAATGCGTGCAGCCGTTATTGACCATCTAGTTGTTGGGTGGGAAATCTGGTCGGCTCTTTGTGTGGCACAAAAACTGGTCAGCTTTCAGTCGCGCTCCCCTGTTAAATTCGTCATTAATATCTCCCAGATTGTTGTTGCTCCTGTTCTTGTGTTTTATTGGGGGCGGCTCTTCGTGAGTCTATATCTGCGTTTATGATATTCAAATCTAACTATTCGTTAGATGCCTCTGTGGTGTCAACTCCGCTGGCTCATTTCTAGTCGCCGGCGTCGTCGAGAATGTATGAGCAGCCGATTCTCTGATGGTCAAATGCTTATATTGTCACAGTATTCGACGTATTGCTCCTTCCACTGCAACGCATTCACTGAAAAGTCGCAACCAAAAAAAAACACTATCAAAATCTTTGCAAGAGCGCAACGTGATGAGAGTCGTCGGGGACGCCTGAGACTCTCATCACCAGTCGACTCCACCCAAATCAACCATGTTCATTGCCTCAAATTTTTCGACGAAAGTATCAAGTTGACACAGCAAAGCAACTACGGGTCCCGCTGGACTAGACTATCGGTCTCCTTTGCTTTTTGGGAGCTTTCACCGTTGCCGTTTTCCGGCATGAATCATTTCGAGCGAGAACCGGGAATGCTATATGGATACGAAGCTCCAAGTCAACCTACCAATCGAGAATAATACCGACCCTCGAAGCCTCATAGCGGGCGCTGATCGATAATTGAATTCCTTCGACCATCAGCATCCCCCCCGCTAACCGTATAGTGTGGAGGACGAATTTTCGAGCGAGAATTGGGAGCGATATGCGTCTACGACCCTCCAAGTTAACACCAATCGAGAATCGGATACCGACCGTTGGAGGATGACACCAGTCTGTTGGAGCGAGAATCGTGGACGACACCCTCGACACCCTTTCATCTCACCAGTCCCACAATCGAGAATCGGGCCATCGACCGTTGGAGGAGTTCAAGGCTCAGCGCGGAGCAAGCGAGAATCGGAAAACCGACCCTTGGGACGCGCGACAGCAGCAGCAAGAATCGATTGAGAATCGACACGGCGACGAACGAAGGCTATTCAGGCCCCGCGATCAGCTAACTCGACCGTCGATACTTGCGATGTACGAACTCCCCGATTGAGAATCGGTGGACCGACCGTTGTGGGAGAAGAGAAAAGCGGTTAGAAAGAAGAGCAACGATTTGGCTCTGTCCAATGGGGGAGACATGCTCTTCATTCACTTATGGTGTTGGTATTAGGAGTCGTAGAGTTACCAATGGTACTCTAAGTTGCTTGTAGCTAGCTTGTGGTAGTATGAGTTCCCTTCTTTTGCAATATACTTGTTACGAAAGACAGAAACTCGGAGTCTTGGATTAGCCCGACAAACTTGATGACATCAGCGAAAGCTTCTCTTTCCCCGTCAACAATATCGCTTAATGCTTGAACGCAACTCTCGCCTACCACCTTTTTGACCCAGAAGCAGGAGGAAATGCGAAAGTACGTGGCTGACATCATTATTTGCAAGCAGCTGAACTGACCAAATCCATAGTCTCGTCCATGTCTCCCAGAACAGATGAGAAACGACGCGGTTGGTCTCTGTGTGCTGTTGTAGCTGTATTTGCCTGTGTCAAACGCTTCCCATTGGACTTTACCCTCCCGACGCTCCCAGCTGCGCTCGAATCCGCGTTCACCATCACCGAAGCAGTACTCATAGAGGTCGGCTTTCGCCCGCTGCTCCTTGTGGTGGCCAGCCATATTGGGTTCATGCTATTCGTGAAAGTCGGTGCTCACATGTGGAGTCGGCGCCACCCCGCTCGACCTGAGGGAACGCTCATCTACCTCGCCGTCATTGTCCTGCCCATTGCCTTCAACTTCATCGCTCCCCGCCTCAACAAGATACCTTGGTTGATATACCAACTCGCATCGGCAATGGGAGCCTTTCCCACAGTAAACGAGCTCCGCGAGCACCTGATACGACTGGACTGCTACGCTGCAGATTCATGGGCCAGCGAAGCATACCATCAACCGGTAAGTGGCTCTCGCTCGTCAGTCATCCTTCTGAAACGGCTATAGATGATTATGGCACCAATCATTCTGCATTCTGTGACACTTTTCGTCTCCTACGGGCTAGTCAAGCTGGTTCTCATTGGCCAATGTCTCCGAAAACAGCTTCTTTATTGCCCACTGCTTTTCACCTTGTATTGTGTATGTTTCACATTCATCTGGGCTGCCGATTTTGCGTTGTTGCTCGGACTTCTCCTCTGGGGTGCCCTACCAAGGCGAAGATCCATTTTCCTCCGCGCTATCATCTCCGCATCCGCACGCAAGCAGGCTACAAAAATTTGGGAGTCAATAATAGGAAATCTCGAGGCATTCCAACTGACTCAGCGTATCGAGTTTGACCACTTGTTGTCAGAACGCCGAGCCGCGTTCATCGCTGGCTTCAAGCAGTCATATCTCGGATGGGAGGAGTTGACTGTGGCCTGCCGCCTGGTTCGTTCTTTTTCTTTTGATTTAAGACTGGTTAAAAACTGTTGCAGCTCGTCGTTCTGCCAGCCGCATTCTTCTATATCCGATTTGGCGTGGGCCAGTTAACACGATCTTAGGCGAACGTGGTCCGATTTTACGCTTTTCACGAACTCTTAACCTGGGCAACTTCAACTCCAGGTTCGCGGTTAGCATTTCGTCTGACGCTCCTTTGGTTAGGCTTGATCGAGGATATCAACTCAGAGCTCGGGAAGAAGAGGAAGTGGGGACTGAAGAGCTTTGAACAGACTTTATTTTCTTTCACGTACAGCATACAAATTCCGTTCATAAGAAGTATCGGTGCCATGGCAAGCAGTTTTGTGGCGGCTCCCATAAACCCTACGCTCTGCGCGGTCCACAAAATGTACACCAGACTTGTTGCTAAGAGGACCAGAAGGGAGAATTGTTATGCCTCTTCTACAAACGGCGTCGATGCTTCCGAATCTACTTCCATGTCCGTGTCAGCAACGACCTTCATCGGCTCTGACCGCGTCGCAAACTCAGCCAGCTGCCGCCTAAGAAAACTGTCATTCACAGTCCGAGTAACACACAATAGCGCACCGTTTCCGATCCCGCAACTCAGTAAGCATCGCAATGACCTCGACCTGCTCCTCAGTCCGCAGGTTACCACCGGGCAGGTTAGTTGCAAGCTCCTTTGCCTGGTTCAACGCGCTTTTGAACTCGTTTGTCTGCGTAGAAAATAGAAGCGTTTGGATTTGAGGGTGCGGAGCAGGAATTTACAGCATTGAGCACGGCCTGTCTAGCCTGCGGAGTTACGGTCCCATCCGGCCCTTGTATGAGCTCGAGGACCGTGATCAGCTTGGGGAGGAGACTGTCGAAGAGCGCGACTGGTAACGGGTTCGTGGTCATCGACACGCAGTGTCACAGACGTTACATGATGACGCAAGCAAGCAAATGATCCTTATTCGCTAGCCTCCAGGATATACCTAGCAAACTTCTCTGCCATTTCTACAGCTACATCCATATCCTGCTGCTCCAGCTCGCGCAAAGTACTAATGTCCCCCTTCAACAAATCCTCCATATCGACTGCGGGAAGCGGCTTTGGCTGGTGGCTAGAGTTTGAACTACCACCAGACCTATCGATCTTCGCTTCACGCATCGATGCTGATAGACCGGCCGCAAATTCGCGGCTCTTCCGAATCGGTCTTACTAGAGCAGCGGCACGTGAGCCCGAAGGCGGCGTATACTCCAAAACATCGTCACTGTCGATGTCGACGCGTTTGGGCCGAAAAACCTCGTCATCAGGCAACCGGGAGCTGCGTCGTCGACTGGAAGAGCGGTATTTTACAGAAAAGGCTCCGGATTGCGGTGTCCGTACTGACGAGCTCCCCGAGACGTTTCGTCGATGGGCCAAAACTGGCGGTGGTGGCTGATCATCTTCTTCCTGAAGCATCGCTTCCACAGCAGCCTCCGATTTCTCCCGCAATCTCAGTAGCAAAGCGTCCGTCTTTTCCAAATTCCGCGTCCGCGCAAACAAGTTCCTCACCACGTCAACCCCAAACCCATGGTTTTTCGCCATTGCCACGAACACCTGCGCCGAAAGATCCGCATTCACCGCTGTGTCCTCATCAGGGGAATTTCCAAGAGAGGCACGGGTGGGGAATATCGAGCTTTCTCGTGGCCCGCGAGGTTGGGGAGCGCTAACGCGACGGTGTTGCGGCGCCGGGAGTGATTGGCGCGGCATCACAATCGTTTTTTTGTGGAAATCGATAGCGGGAAGACTGCGTCTCCGAGCAACGTCGTGGTCGGCCACCACCGACAAGAGACGGTTATTATTGATGCGTCGACTGAACGTGCTTTCGAACTGGGAAGTGCGCTTGCCTTGTCCAGAAAGCGGGGACCGGGGGTGTTGGCGGGAGAGGCTTGCGCGCGGGGGAGAAGGAAGCTGGTATCGCTGTGAATTCGCGTCAGTGTTGGGACTTGGTGCACGGGAACGGCGTGTTGATTCATGCTCGCTGATGACAGAGCGAGGCGCCTCGTTGCGTGACCGTCGGCCAGCGAAGAACAGCTTCTGTGGTGGTTGATTAGGTTGGGCTAGATTGCGAAGAGGATGTCTTTTGGCAGGGGCAGCGTCATGCGAGCTGATTTCGTCTTCAGGAGTGAGCAAAGTGGTCAAATCGAAAGGGCTTGTGGGAGTGCGAGGCGTGGGGGAATGGCCACCAATCGGTGATCCCCAGTCAAGAGGGCTGGTTGAGCGGTGAGGTTGTGCAGGAGTGACTTTGGAAGAAGATGTAATTGCATTGACTTGGGGTATGCGACTGGTGGCAACATCGGGTTTTTCGATGACGGCTTGAGCCGCATTTCGTTCTTTCGGCGAAGCAGAGACTCCCAACGGAAAAGGTTTTGCGGGAGTAAGTTGTACTTTGGACGAAGATGCAACAGCATTGACTCGTTGTATACGACTGGTGTCAACCTTGGTTATTCCGACCACGGGTTGCAAACCCTTTCGTCCTTTCGGCGGATTAGGAACTCCCAACGGAGGGGGTTTGGCGGGAGTAAGGTGTACTTTGGATGAAGATGCAATGGCATTGACTTGTGGTATGTGACCGGTGGCCACCTTGCGTTTTTCGACCACTACTTGGGCAGGCTTTTGTTCTTTCGGGAAAACAGGCTGGCCTGGACGGGGGGATCGCGGCTTTCTATTAGCGGATGGTGTGAGTTTAGCAGGTGATGGTTTTGGCGGCTGGCTACGATTTGGGGTTGCGTCGTCATCGCTATCGCTATCCAGTAATAACTTTCGAAAGGGCTTCTTGACGATCGTATGGGCTTTGGCAGGCAAAAGCTGGGCTCCTTTCGCTGCTTGTTGCGAGCTGCGAATCGGAGGCCATGGGCCCGCTTGGTCGTCACTGTCACTGTCGCCTTCCGCCAATAGCTTTCGATGGGGCTTCCCCACAGCCAGCTTGCTACGGAAAGGCCCCTCGTCAATCCGAGCAAGTCTGCGGGGCATTGGCGGCCGCGGATCATCCTCTTCGGATGAGCTTTCTTCGCTCTTATTAGATGCTGTTGTCGGAGGCCGGGAGACGGTGTCTGCGGGTGTTGGTGGCAAAGAGACGAAATCGTTGTCGACAATGGTTGATCGAGGAATAAGGGGTCTCGGTTTAGCTGGATGGGGTTTCGCAACCGAATCGAGGCTCGGATATATATTAATATTGGGCACAATTTGGGATGCCTCGCTGAATTTGTTCATAAGAATCCAAGCATCTGACAGGGGCTTGAAACACACCTTGACTCGCTCGAACTTTCGACTGCCTCAAGAATCTCTGGCGCGGGCTCATCCTCCTCTTCTTCCTCCCGTTGCTCAGCTTTAGCTTTCTTCCTCGGTATGGTAGACGGAACATATTTCCGCTTGCGACCTGCATTGGTGTCGCTTTCGATTTCAGAGTCAACAGTCTTTTTCGTCCCATTGACATGCCCTGGATTCGCTGTTGGGAGATTCTTGCGGATCTGATATTTCTTGATGCGTTGGTCAAACTCGGCTTGGTGCTTCATATAGCGTTCGCGCCAACCGCCCCATGGATGACGACTAGCCCAAGCCCACTTCTTGTCTGCCTGGAGATCGAAATCTTCTGTGAGGATGGGAAAGCTGAGAGAAATAGCAGCGTACATTCAGAGTCAGCGTCTGATAGACTTTGTTGCCTTTACGGCCTTGAACGCCAGGATTATACTTGGCCAAGTATTTGACAAGCAGTGTATCGTCGTCGGAATCATATTGTACACGCGTACTGAAAACGCGTCAACTCCAGCAAGATAAAGCTAAATGCAGACCTAGCCATGACACCTGGGACTAACGACGCGGTTCGCTTTTACCCTGGGCGTAGTCGGGAACAAGTTGATGTGTCACACAACGTGACTTGTGACACACCTCCCGACAATTTCCTTTCCCTTCCGCTCGCTGACGATGGTGGTGTCGCGGGCCATTCTCAACCGTGCCCTCCGGTCTGCTCGTCCCACGGTGCGCTTCAGACGCCTTTTCGTCTTGTCTCCTCACTCTTTTCAGTCATTGCGTGGCCTTGCGACTGTTCACAACCCTGGCCCTTTTACTGAAATTTCGCGGCTTTCGAATGGCCTGACGGTTGCGACCGAATCACATCCTCACGCCCAGACAGCTACCGTTGGCGTCTGGATAGATGCAGGCTCTCGGGCAGAGACTGACGCTACCAACGGTACCGCCCACTTCTTGGAGCACATGGCATTCAAGGGCACCGGCAAACGGACACAGCATGGTCTCGAGCTCGAAGTAGAGAACATTGGCGCTCACCTGAATGCCTACACCTCCCGCGAACAGACCGTTTACTACGCCAAAAGCTTCCGCAAAGACGTACCTGTCGCTGTCGACATCATCAGCGACATTCTCCAAAACTCGAAGCTCGAGGCGGGTGCTATTGAGCGCGAGCGGGATGTCATCTTGCGGGAGCAACAGGAGGTCGACAAACAAATGGAAGAGGTCGTTTTCGATCATTTACATTCCGTTGCTTTCCAACGTTCGTAGTAATTCTCAGTCGATGACTTTTTTTACTCATTCCTCGAATAGGTCAACCGCTTGGACGTACTATTCTTGGGCCAAAAGGTGTGTCCAGCAATGATAATAATCTGCTCCTGCGCTGACTAGAACACTGCAGCTAACATCCTTTCCATCAAACGCGACGACCTGGATGCCTACATCAAGACCAACTACGCAGCCGACCGCATGGTTCTCGTTGGCGCTGGTGGTGTTGACCATGGCGAACTTGTCAAGCTCGCTGAAAAGCACTTTTCTGGACTCCCTACCTCCCCCACTCCCATTCGTCTCGGCACTTCTTCGCAACCAAAACCGTCATTTGTTGGTTCCGAAGTCCGTCTTCGAGATGACGAGCTGGGTCTTGCCCATATTGCCATTGCTGTGGAGGGTGTGGGCTGGTCATCACCCGACTACTTCCCTATGATGGTCCTCCAAAGCATCTTCGGCAACTGGGATCGCTCTCTTGGTTCTGCTCCTCATCTCTCTTCCCGACTTTCAAGCATAATTTCTTCAAACAACCTCGCTAACTCATTCATGAGCTTCAGCACGAGTTACTCCGACACAGGCTTGTGGGGAATCTACCTTGTCAGTGAGAACCTGATGAACCTTGACGATCTTTCCCACTTCACCCTCCGCGAATGGGCACGGATGAGCATATCACCCACCAGTGTCGAGGTTGAGCGCGCCAAGAGCCAGCTTAAGGCCGGTCTGCTTCTTGGGTTGGATGGTACGACTGCAATTGCGGAAGATATTGGCCGCCAGATTGTGACTACTGGTCGTCGTATGTCGCCCCAACAAACCGAACAGGCTGTGGATGCGGTCACCGTTGACGACATCATCCGCGTTGCCAAAAAATACTTGTGGGACAAAGATGTGCTTTTTTTCGCTTTGTCGTCTCTTACTCTTACTGACTTCGGTTTTCTTAGATTGCCATGGCTGCTATTGGAAACATCGACGGTCTCTTAGATTACAACCGTATTCGTACCGACATGTCGCGCATGACGGTGTAGATGAAAAAATAATGTTCATACTTCTTTATCATGCTGGTGATCAGGAAAACTTACCTATTCATGTCCATTAGCGACTACAGTATCTACCAAGAGCATATGCCTCTTGTGAATCGGTGGCCTTGGACACGAGTGCAAAGTGAAGTTTTTTTGATCGCGTGACGTGACACCTCGCGACTCATTTCACTCCAAACTATGAACAATACCCCAGATGTCCACCCTCCTGCCCTTTCATAAGACCATACTAGAGCGCATTCATGACCCTACGAACAACGACCTCTTAGTTCTTGCCCGTGGGCTTGGCCTACGGCGCATCATCTGCACGCTTCTAAAAATTTACGACACCCCTGGAAGCACAGTGCTCCTCGTCAATGCTACACCAGAGGAGGAGCTGGAGATTGGTGAGGAACTGGGAATAATGGGCTGTCGAAATCCAGGACTGCGTGTAATTGGCTACGAGACGCAGAACAAGGACCGGTATGTGTTTGTTCGAGCTTTGCAATGCTAGCTGAAATCTCGAAAGGCAAGCTCTCTACCTCTCTGGCGGCCTGTTCTCAGTCACTTCGCGGATTCTCGTGGTCGATATGTTGCAGGGGGACTTACCAACCGCTAAGGTCACTGGGATGCTTGTCCTCCACGCGGAAAGGTCAGGTCGTTTGAAACAAACTAATTGCACTAAACGATGGTAGAGTTACTCCTCTCGCTCTAGAGGCGTTTATCATCCGGCTGTATCGCGAGAAGAACAAGACGGGGTTCTTGAAGGGCTTCACCGACCAGGCAGAGCACATCAGCAGCGGCATATCTCCCCTCAAGAACATCATGAAAGAGCTGCAGCTCCGAAATGTTCATATCTATCCGCGGTGAGACCATTTTTCTCACCACACCGACCTGCTTACCTGCATAGATTCCAAGAAGACATCAAAAAGTCATTGGAACGGCGTCGAGCAGATGTTGTCGAGCTTTCGCAGCACATGACAGAGACAATGGCTGGGATTCACCACGCAATAATCGAATGCATGAACTCTACGCTCGCCGAGTTAAAGCGGTCATACTCGACTCTCGACCTTGACGAGCTAACAGTCGAAAACGCATATTTTCGCTCTTTTGATGTCATCGTCCGGCGGCAGCTCGACTCCGTCTGGCACAAAACGGGACCAAAAACGAAGCAACTTGTGTCAGACTTGGGCGTCCTCCGGCGACTGCTAACCTATCTTCTCACTTACGACCCTCTACAATTCCACGCATATCTCGAAACCCTTCTGGCAACGGGGTCAGTAACCGTCATGGGTGTGAAGGAAAACAGGAGTCCGTGGATGATCAGCGACGTTGCCCATCTCATTTTTGACGGGGCAAGACGAAGATGTTACCTGGGAAATTTCAAACCCAAACCGCCCCCAGCGCAGAACGATGACGACGATGGTTGGGCAGCGCTGGATGAATTGGACGGTATCGAAGTGCAAGCCAAAGCGGATGTCAGACCACAATGGCTTCCCTACGGCTTGGAACCTGTACTCGAAGAACTCCCTAAGTGGGGTTTATTGGCCGAAGCGTTGCAGGAGATTGAGGGGGATATATTGCGCATCGAAACTGCCGACATGACGCGCAAAGGGCCGCCCCTCCCCGGCTCAAACGTCGTTTTGATCATGACGTCTTCAACGCGAACGTGTCGCGTTATCTCCGAGTTCCTGTCCACCAAAGACGATTCCTTACCAAGAGGTGCCCAAGGCCGGGCGATGCTAATGAAGCGACTGAGGGTTTACTTATGGTGGAAGACAACATTGGCGCGGAGGAAAGCGGATGGAAAACCTGGGTTTGGGATGCCGGATATCATACCTGGCGAAAGCGGGTTCAAGCAGGGGTATCCGACTGAAGAGCGTGGGGTTGGCACTCAAATAAGCGAAGCGTTGAAGAAAAAAGACCGGGAAATGGCTGACCGCAATGCTCGTAGGCGAAGAGTGCGTGGTGGGGCACCTACTCCTTCTGCGACCACTCGAGATTTGCCAGGCGACAGTGCTGATGCAGCCATTGGGACTATGAACACTGAAGCGGACGACATTGCTGCTTTGTATGGTTTCATTCTTGCTGAGGAATGATGATTGACTGCTGACAGTTGGCAAAACCACGGCGAGTCTGTGGAACAACCCGAAGTCAACATCGAGCTGCTTCAATTCGATGTTACTGAACTGGAGCAAGAGTTCGACACGCATTATGGCCTGTTGGCGCCGCAGCAGACTGTTGTCGTTCGAGCTTATGGAGGCGACGCGGATGACCGCATGCTAGCTGAGCTCCAGCCCAGGTTTATCGTGATGTATGAACCCAATATGGACTTTGTTCGACGAATCGAGGTACTTTCTGTCTCCTCCGGTAACAAAGCTAATAGCCTTAGGTTTACCGTAGCTCCAGTCCCGGCCTCAACGTCCGGGTATACCACATGATCTATGGCAACTCGAGCGAAGAACATCGGTATCTAGCCGGTGTGCGTAAAGAGAAGGATGCCTTCCAGCGCCTGATCAAGGAGCGCGGGACCATGCTCTTACCGATATTCGAGGACAAGGCGGACGCGAGAAGCGACGCGTTGATCAAGACCATTAGCACGCGAATTGCGGGAGGGAGACGTGAGGTTCGAGCAGAGCCTGCTCAAGTCATCGTCGACATGCGAGAGTTTCGCTCGTCGTTGCCGTCACTTTTACATGCAGCGAGTATGTTGGTCATCCCGGCGACATTGACAGTCGGCGACTATATCTTGACGCCCGATATTTGTGTCGAACGCAAGAGTATACCGGATTTGGTGTCCAGCTTCAACAGTGGGCGGTTGTATGTCATCTTCTTCTTTTCCATTTGGACAAGGCTTATCTTACTACAGGTATACCCAATGTGAGCTGATGTCGGTACACTACAAGCACCCCGTGCTCTTGATTGAATTCGAGGAGGACAAGGCGTTTTCGTTGGAGGTACTTGGGTTCATTGACTTTACTTTCATGGCTGACTGGCCTAGGTTGTCTCAGACATGAAATCCTATGCGAAGCCGACTGGGAAATACCCACCCAAAGCGGGTGGGTCGAAGGATAAAGACAACGCTCAGCCGCTTCTCCAATCGAAACTGGTTCTGCTCTTACTCTCCTTCCCGCGCTTGCGAATCATCTGGGCCTCGTCACCCCATAGCTCGGCTGAAATCTTCGCCGACCTCAAAGCGAATAACGCGGAACCCAGTCCACACGAGGCCATCGCGATCGGGGCAGAAGCCGACCCGGATGTCGGCGCGGGGGTAAATGCAGCGGCAGAAGAGCTGTTGCGGGCTCTGCCTGGAGTCACAGCAAAGAATGTCGCGTATGTGGCCAGTAAGATCCAGAGTGTACGGGCTCTGTGTGACATGACGCTGGTGGAGGTGCAGGGAATTTTAGGGGTGGAGCCTGGCAAGGCTTGTTTTGATTTTTTACACAAAGGGGATCAAAAGAGGTGAATGATGGTGCTTTTCATGGTGTTTGTCGAGTTTGGGACCATAATTACACCTTTTTCAAGGCTACTGAATGTGGAATAGAAGCCATTTCCTTTCGCAAGCTTTCATCTGAGCGAAATTGATATCCACAGACTGCAATCGACGACTCAGATCACGGTGGCTAAGGAAGGCGTGATGGAGGTGTGACACTCCATCTACTTCTTGACCTCAAACCCCATCGACCTCTACTGTCGATGGATTTTCCCTCCAAGCCCTCTGGTATAGCTACCTCAGCCATCTGCACCCTACTTTTTTATCTTCCTCTGGATACTCTTTTGCGGTACCACTGACGATAACTTCAACAAGAACGATAATCTTGTCACTATTGGCAGTGACGGCGACGATCCAGATTGTTCTCGTATATGATGTACGTCTCTTCGACCCCGGATCAACCTCACAATATTTCTGCTAGGCACTGGCTTTTTTAGTCATGTCTACGATTGCTCTCAGTGGCACGATTCCTACGGCTTATGCTTGCTAGTGTGTCTTTTTTTAGCACTCAACTTCTACGAGTCTTTTCCCCAGATTATGTTAATGACTCTCTGAACTTGGTCTCCCTCGACATTCGGCGATAACTGGCCAGCAGCGTGTTGTTAACCCCCAGCGCCAAAATCGCTTTCGATTCACCGCGGGAGAGCAGAGACGGAAGTACGGTACTGGTGAGGCCGCGCTACGGGAAGCCTCCGTTGGCGGAGTCCCGGCAAGCAGAGTTGATACTGGCTACCAAACGACTGGGCGACTGCGACAAGACAAAAGCTCCCCGGGCAGAAGAGTGTGTGGAGAATGATGGGTTATGGCTCAGCCACACCGAACTCTCGACTGCTCTGAAGACGCCAACGAACGAGAGGATCGATGGAGGTGTTGTATGCGGTCATGCGTGGCACGGTCAGCTTTGAGCCACCGCCATTCGACTTTGTTGGATGTTGGGCTTGTGGAGGGCTCGTAGGATATGTGCTTGCTTGTATTCTTGCTGTAACGAAGCTTTTGAGAGAAGACCATCTTGCCACGACTTGAGAGTCAAAAAGTAAAAACTTGAATGTAACTCGCTGACCGGCAATCAAAGCTTTCCACGATTCTCTTCCTCTCCCTTCATCCCCACTTGTTTACCGCCAACGACTCTCAGGACCAAGATGGCCGCACCCGCTATTGGAATATACCGTTCGACCAGTGGTCATGTTTGTAAACATCCACGCCCACAACCTATGACAGACGTGGGTCCTTCCCTTCACCCGCATGTATTCCTGGCTTATCCCATTTAGTTTGGCCGCGTGGTTCGCATTCAACCTCCTACGCCCCACTCTAGGGAGTCTTTCAACAAGATTGAGACGGAGAACTAGTTTCAATGACCTCGACCATGAAATTTTGGTCCAGATTAATGCTCTGCTGCCCTTCCCGCCAAATCGGGCTGACTTTTCCATGGTCTCCCGACGGACGCGCAAGGTTTTGAGGCCTATCCTCTTCCGACGCGTGCGTTGGCAACCATTTCCAGGCCAGCTGGAATTTATACCGGATTCCTTGATTCCCTTCATCCAGTGCGTGTTTGCTCGACTTTTTCTTCTTTTGCTTATTAGTGTCAGAGTTTTCACTTTATGTGGGGATGCTATTGCTCTTGCGCCTCACCTTCCGTTGGATTACCCCGGGATTGTTGAGATTCTCCGCCAACAACTGCCTACTTTCGTTGTCCTCCACACCTTCATCCTCGGCAAATATATGTATGGTGGCCTCTGGACGGAATTGGTGGATGCTCTATCTGCAGCACCAATGATTACCACACTCGACTTTCTCTCTCGTTGGGAAATGCGCAAGACTACACTGCCTCCATACCTCCTGGACGACAATTTCGTCTCCCCACCGTTCCGAACCATCAACTACCCCTTCCCCACTTGCGTCACAGGGATACGAAACTACGCTTCCTTGTCTCGACGAACCCGTATCGTCCTCGAAACAGAGGGCGCCAACTTGAGGCGGTTGACTTCTGCATGCCATACGACCTTGGAGCATTTGACGATCCCAGGGGAGCTTTTTATTCTGGCGATTGACGTGGCGTTGGACTGGAGTCACCTTCGAGAACTTGTACTCCAAGGTTTCTGGCCACAAGATTATTGCGTCTTTATCCACCCCCCTTTGCTGCTGCCACAAACCCGACTGCTTCATTTGCTAGAAGCATTGCCCAACTTACGCTCCGTGCGGTTGAATATGTCCCTGCGAGAACAGGGACCAAGAGGCGTTACTTACGTCGTGGCGCCGCACAGTCCAGCTCCGGCAGACCCTGCCCATTCTTACGCCACCTCGAGCACTTCGAATTCTCCTCATTGGTGGCAAATGAAAAGCTGCTCTCCTTTCTTCCTAGCGGGTTGGAGTCTCTTTCGCTGAGGCGTTACCCGCTTAGTAATCAGAGTCGAGACGTTTACCAACCAATAGTTTCTTGCTCTCAACTAAACGCGCTACTGGCAGAAGCGGACTTTCCATCGCTTCGAGCTTTCTCAGTGTGGTATGTGATCCCGACGGAAGACGATCTTTACTCGGAGGATTCATTACTCGAGAGCATACCACGGAAATTCCCGCTGCTCGAGAACCTCGTTGTTAACAGGCTCTGGCACCACACGTCACTCGCCTTGAAAGATCGTTGGGACCCCGCCGTATGCACGCCGCTCCGAAGCCCCCCACTTTTTCGCTAATCTTTCTGACAGCCCCGGTTCCGTCGACTCTTGTCGAGGTTACGTCACCTTAAGCACTTGTCACTCAATGTTGACCATCCAGAGCGATTTCGACGCCGCCCTTTCTACCGTCTCGACGACCCTGAACTCGAGGCTCATGTTGAACATCTTGCGGCCCTCGTCATCGAAATCGTCTCTTTGTGTCCGACTTTGCAGCGGGTGTCGATGTATCGGGAGCTCGGCGACAATGTGGCGGTCTATTGGCAGCATTGGGAGGTCATACGGTCGGATGATGGCTCAGTAACCCTCCAACCTTTCTAATTATGGACATACCTCTCTCTCTCTCTCAAACTTACAGTTAGCCCATCATTGTAACCGCGTTGTGATATAAACGATCTTCTTTTGCTGGGGAAAGAGAACACGCTTTTGCTGGTTTGTCAACTGATTCCAAGACTCGAAGTTGTGATTTGAAACAAGTATATTGCGAAAGAGGGCACTAATACTACCACAAGCGAACAACAAACATCTTCGCAGTCGCAGATCACCATTGGTAACTCTACGACTCTCAATAATGGGTCTCTTCCCGAGCCAATTCCGGTCGCTCTTCTATCCGACTTGACCACTCTTCTCTTTTTCCACAACGGTCGGTCCACCGATTCTCAATCGGGGAGTTCGTACATCGCAAGTGTCGACGGTCGAGTTAGCTGATCGCGGGGCTTGTAGCTTGAATACGCCTTCGTTCGTCGCCGTGTCGATTCTCAATCGAAACTTGCTGCTGCTGTCGCGCGTCCCAAGGGTCGGTGTGCCGATTCTCGCTTGCTTCACGCTTGGCTTTGAACTCCTCCAACGATCGATGGCCCGATTCTCGATTGTGGGACTGCCGAGATGATTGGGTGCTCGGTTTCGAGGGTCAAATCTGTCATCCACGATTCTCGCTCCAAAAAAACTGGTGTCGTCCTCTAACGGTCGGTATCCGATTCTCGATTGGCGTATAGTCGTAGACGCACATAACTTCTGATCCTCGCTCTGAACCCGTTCGTGTCCCAGGCGTTCCCGACGATTTTCATCGTGTCGCTTGTGCAAACCGTGGTAGAAAAATGTGTCTCCTCAACAGCTAATCGATATGTCGGAGCAGGGCGACGAATTTATCGAGGTCTATAGACTCATAAGCGGTTGCGCATTACGGATGTCAAGCGTTCATACATTCTCGACGACGGCGTCGACTGGAAACCAGCACGCAGATTTCGCGCAAAAACGGTGCCTGGTGCAAAACATAAGACTTGACATCATAGCAGAACCCTGGACTCACAACGAGCCACCACCAGTAAAAAGCGACGACGGGGACGACAATGACCTGAAGCACCAGTGAGCACCGTATCACGGACTTGAGGAAAGACAAACCAGTCGCTGCACTATACATAAAGCTGCCCAAATTTCAAGGCCAAGGGCTAATTGATCCTCGCAGATCATCCATATTTGCCGCTTGAGTACGGTCAGCATCAGGAAAATGACAACTGAAGCTTTTTGTACTTTTTGAGCTTTTCAAAGTCATAAAAGCCAAAAAAGAGCTGCAAAGTTTAAAAGCTCTTTTGCATCTTTTGAAAGTTATGTTCCTTTCTTTTTTAAGGTAATAAAGCTAGTAAAGCTTCTGTAAGTTCACTCTCAAGTTCTAGCCAAGTTACCTTAAAGGTAGTTGAATCCATCTCTGTTTTGTCTGCATAAATCATAATTGGCATAAAGAAAACAAAAAACTACTCATAAACTACTCAAAATAGTCCGAAACAGCGTCGTAGTCTACAACATCAAAGTCACTCTCATCATCAGAGGAAACCTCGATGGGGGTGGACACCGCCTCGTTGCGCGTTGTAGCAGCCTTTGGATAATCCGATACCAATGGTGCATCTTCAGCTTTTTGATCAGCTGCTCGATCTTCGCATATGGGCGGACGAGCTTGTTGACACCGTTGATCAGGCGATGGCCCTGCCCATAATTGGTTTTCGAAAAGTTCCCCGGGCCACCTGCAACAGCGACATAGACCCCAGTTGAGTGGAGATTCAAAGCACGTTTGAGCTAGACACAGTTAATAGGTTTCCGTGTCTAGATATAAACATACCGCCTGAATGCACATTGTCAGTGCTCCGATCGGATAGGTTGACGCATCATCTGCATTGAAGGCGACAGGCCCCAAGGTGTTGTCGATTGTTGTGGCCGAGATGTGGGCAGCGAAGGTATACGAGACAATAAAGCTTTGAAATATGCCCTGGCAATATATCAGTAGATTATATAGAGCTCCAACGAAGCACTTACTTGCGGGAGACCATCAGGCTCCGGACCAAATCCACGGTAGTAGAAGACGCGGTCCTTATCGGTGATAAGCCGCAGTCTGGGACAGACCAGGAAACGACTATTTTTGTCGATTTTGTTGCTCAGCGCACGTCTCAGAGTTGACATGAGTCCCGAATGGTCAACTAGGGAATTACCTGCACAAGAACCAGTCAAACTCCAGTCAAAATCTATCAAATCGCTCTCAGTGATTCCAAAATCTTGACTAGGAAAAGTTCGCAGAGCCCGTTCTACGCTAGAATCTATCCAATTCTACGCAAAATACCCAAAGGGAGTGTATTCTAAAAGGCATATTCGGTTTGGCGCTCGGTGGAGACTCGAGATCGACTTCTCCTAGATAAGGGACACCCCTATCTCTGTTGGTATCGACGACTGACATCATTGGAACGTGGTTTCGGATCATGCTGGAGGGTCGAGAGTGCCAAGGGACGGTTAAACGGCGAAAACCTACTCAATTGACTGGGGCCTGGACCTGTGATCAACGGCGACTCTAAAACACTGTCGAGGAACAGATCATCTGAACATTGGAAATGCGCCAGGAGAGTTGGGACAACCACCGCTGAGGCCATATGCACAAGATACGAGTTATGGGTGTCAATCGAAAGCTGGGAAGCAGAGCTATCCACTTATCCTACTCAAGATCGAGGGATTCTTCACAAGCAAAACTAGATGGTCGCGAACACGGAAGATTTACACAGGTCATTGACTCCAATACACGCGATACCAGTCATCTGGACCTGGATTTTCGACTCTGGGCCGTATGGCGAAACGATACCTATACAATTATGCACATGGACGACTTTTCTTACTCGAGATTTTCCCTGATTCTATCAATTTCTGTTTAGTATTTATATCTCTGTTTTGTATTTGGCAGGTTCACGGATTGCCCCGCTCTACTAGGTGCATCTGGGGATCTAGCTCGTCAATCTATCTTGCTAGCTCTTTCGAAATAGTATCATCGCGTCGGAAGGATTATTGGTTGAGGGTTTCGGTTGCTGAATACAAGAGTTCCGGTTGCTGTTTATTGGGTTTCGGTTGCTGGTCGAGAGTTTAAGGCAGTTAGTTCCTGACTCGAGACAACTCAGAGGGTTTAAGGCAGTTAGTCCTGATCCAACGAGTATAAACTCTCCGGGCATCGTATTGGCGCTTCTCTATTGCTGAGTTTCGTCGATAAGCACGCTTTGGGGCACGACAAATCAACGTTTTTCGCAAGAAACTCGTATCTACCCTACAACCTTACACATCTGTGCCAAGGCTCTGTTCACAGGGGCCTGTACTCACACAAGGAGTTGACGATTTTTTTGGGTTTTGTGACTTTTCCTACTCGACATTATACATCTTTTCTCTCTCGACAAGTGGAGTTTTGGTTGTTTTTGTTGGTTTGGTTAGTTAGAGAGCTCATTTGCAGTCCCCACTCCGCACTCATCATCTGGAGCCCACCGCGAGGGGTGATCGAGTATTGCTGAAACTTGGTTTCGTGCAATTTGTGACAAGCAAGAAGAAAAGCAAGCGCCCACACGCTTGGATCGAACGTCAAAATACCACCAAAAGGGAAACAGCGAGATCTAACTGATTCCCAACCGAACGATTTTCCGAATTTACTACGCGGAGTTGGAGAACTGAGACCGACACCGTTATTCGTACCAAAAACTATCTGCGAACGCGAAACCGAGGACTACCTGTAACTCGCAAGGCGATCAAATCGGACAATCCCAACAAAATCGACAAAATCTCAAGCATCTTCGTCGAAAAAGACCGACTCAAGCATCAACACAAAAGCGCGTTCAATCGAAATCTACAACAAAGCGCAAAACCAACACAAACTCAGCGACTGTCGAAGAAGAACAACAATCTCCGACACCATCTTCGCCTCTAACCGACTTATCAGAGAGCGAAATCAACACGAATCGGCTTAACGAACCTCCGATTCAACAAAACAACGAAAAACATGGACGATGGAAATGGTGGAAATGGCGGGAACGGAGGTGGCGCGGGTGGCGCAGGTGGAAACGGAGGTGGTGGAGGAAGAAACGCTCAAGGAGGAGCAGCGGTGCGGTTCAAGGTGCCTGAAACATGGGATTCTGGTCGTCCTAGCTTCGATGGAAAGACTCCTGCCAAGTTGGAGAAGTTCCTAGAGGAGTGCGAGCGAATCATCGTGGCAGGGAGGCATCGACAACGACGCGGAAAAGAAGGAGACGGTGCTGAGGTATCTCGATACTAAGCATGTGAAGGAAGCGTGGCGGAATCTGACAGCGTTTGCTGGAGGAGACTTCGATGGATGGAAGGCGGAGATACTGAAGATGTATCCGGAGTTGGAGGAGGTCAACGAAGGATCGAGGAGACGCTTGAAGGAAATTTGCGCCGAGGCACGGGGTGCTAGTCGTGAAGATCTGGGTCTAGTGATTCGATTTTGTGCATTCTTTTTGGCAGAATCCAAAAAACTGCTCAGACCACCATCGCAAATCACCAACAAAGAGTTGGTATCGTCGATTCTTGGTACGCTCAGCGATGATTTTGCTTCGGCAGTCGAAGTTGTGTTGAACCAACCGAATGTGGCAAATATCTTGGGTCCGAACGCGAATGCGGGAAACCAAAACGCGGGAAATACTCGAAGAGGCGATAAGTGGAACTACAAGGACGTCTTGAAGGTGGTGGAATGGTTGGCGAACAATTGGTCTGGACGGGAGGCAGATGCGATGATGAGAAACGACTCGAAACCCTCGAATTTGCTCTCGAGCTCGAAAAGCGGAAACTCTACGAACGATATTAGAGTGAAAAACGAAGTTTCGCGATCAAATGGAGAGTTTCGCCTTAGAGATAAACGCGTTAAAGGACGTTATGGCCGTTAGGGATAAGCAACTCATCGAGACGATGAAGCAGTTCCATCAGGCTACCGAAAGTAAGTCCAAGGAGCATGCGCACCCTCAATCGGGACCGCCACAACGCGAGTATCAACAAGGAGGAAGTCGTGGATATGG